CCCACTCACTCACCCACTCACTCACTCACCCACTCACTCACTCTCTCACCCACTCACCAACTCACTCACCCACTCATTCACTCACTCATTCACCCAGTCACTCACTCACCCACTCACTCACGCATCCACTCATTCACTCACTCACCCACTCACTCACTCACTCACCCACTCACACTCTCACCCACTCACCAACTCACTCACTCACCCACTCACCTACTCACTCACTCACCCACTCACTCACCCACTCACCCATTCACCCACCCACCCACCCACTCACCCACTCACCCACCCACTCACTCACCCATTCATCCATTCACCCACTCACTTACCCACTCACTCACCCACTCACTCACCCATTCATCCACTCACTCACCCACTCACTCACCCATTCACCCACTCACTCACTCACTCACCCACCCTCTCACCCACTCACTCACCCACTCACTCTCTCACCCACTCACTCACCCACTCACTCACCCATTCACCCACTCACCCACTCATTCACCCATTCGCTCACTCACTCACTCAACCATTCGCCCACTCACCCACTCATCCACCCACTCATCCACCCACTCACTCACCCCCTGCAGGTCACAGGTCACAGCTCTTTCTGCTTCTTCCCTCGCACTGCTCCACTTTGGTATTCCCTCCCAGCGTCGTCCCTTTTCCTTTATGCTTTATAACCTTCAATTTTGATTTAAAGCTTTCGTGACTGCAGGGAATCATATTCTTTGTTCTTTCGGCAAAGTCACGTAGAAGGGAAACAATAAAACAATAACTTTGCTAAAATTAAAGACGCATCTTCGTGCTCTATCCCTTCTCAACTCTCTGCCAGCAGTCTCTTGAGCAGGGAGATTGCAGGGCTGCACCTTGAGCCACGCCACTCCAAATAAAGGCGCATGCGATGACTCGCCGCGCCTGTACCAGCACTGTCGAGGCAGGGCAGGGTTGGTGGAGCATGCGAATGTTGTGAAACTCCCTCCCCCCTGAGCCTGGAGGAAGTGCCACAACCCTGGCTTGCCAGGAGAAGTCGGGACACCACCAGTACGGACTCCTCCATCTGTGCGTGGACAGAGTGTTTCCCCGGCGACAAGCGCTGCTCTTCTCCGGGTGCTCCGGTTTCCCCCCACACGTGAACACTCACGAATTGGCTAATAACACCTTCATATATAGAGGGTCGCGGAGCTTGGGTAAGGGAGGGGGGTGGGGGATTTTGCGTCAGCTCAGCGCACGGCTTTTGTCTTCCCGAGTGGCTGTGGTTCCTCCTGGCGCCTCTGAGTCGCCCTCTCCTCGATCCCTCTTCGAGAGCAGCGAGCGAATACTGTTCGACGCATTACAAGTTCAACGGATAGCTTATCGTGGCCTTCATGTGCACAGATTTAATCATCTGAATCTGTCCCAACAGCTCAGTGACCCGTGAAACGATGCAATATTGTCTCCCCGTATGAGCTATGACCGCCACCTCGTGGGTTACATCCAGAAATACATTTCGGTTCCGATTAAGAATATTCCTTTAATACTGGAGGAGAAATCCGATGAGCTATAAAGCTCTCTTTTCCACAGATGTGCAGTCGGGCGCGGGGTCAGAACGTTACAACAAACAATATTAAAAACACACACGATAGGAGTGCAAAGTAAAGAAATGATAAACAAATCACTTAAAATATATATATACAAATGAATATGGTAGTAAAACGAAACTATGTGTATCTTCTTCTTTGGTTCTTTCGGTAAAGTCACGTAGAATGAGAATAAAATAATAAATTGATAAAATAAAATAACACAATAATATTCTCACGACATGTGTATCTTACCAGTTAAAGTCCGTGTGTAATCGTGTACCCCAGTTTCATTATCATTAGCTACTCACTAGGCCAACCAGCCCTACGGGCCCTCAAGTCTTGCCGAAACGCAACGGATGGAACCGGAGTGCATCGGACCAATTTCGTTTCGACGGCGATTCTGATCGACACCTGGCTGGCTGCTGATATCAGGGTCGTCCCAGCGTCTGGATATCTGATGATGATGATGATTGATTATTATTGTTATCAATATTATTTGTAAGAGATCAGAGGCTCAAGCTCACTTTTTAGCGAGTACATTTTTTGTCAGCCTTTTCACAATAACCACACCAGGGCAGGCAGCCTGCCCGGGCGAGATGTGAATCATTATGTCCCCAAGACGTCAATCGCGCGCCCCCCCCCCTCCTCCTCTCCCCACTCTCGAGATGTGACCGTGTAACCCAGAGGTCAGAGCGCCGAGCTGTCACTCAGGAGTAGCTGGGTTCGAATCCAGGCTGCAGTGGCCTGCAATTAAACCTCAACCAGACTCCCAAGTGCATTGCGTTGACGGTTTCGGCCCGGGACACCGATGACACTACCAGGAAACAAACCCATAACCGTAACTTTGAGTTGACTAGATTGTCGCTCTGACATTTAAAACGTATGGGGGTGACGGTCGGGCGAGGCGATGCCACGCGGATTGTCTCTGGGTGACAGGAGGCGTGGGGAAGTGCTGCCACGCTCCAGTGCGTGGAGCAGAGGTCACTTCGTGAAGGGATGCTGCATTCTCAGAGTTAGCTCCGCGGTGTCCGAATCCGCGGGCCGTTGCATCGCTCTGCGAGAGACGCCGGCGATAGCGCGATCAGGGAAAACAATGTATGAGCGTGTATCGTCCAAAAAAAAATACGAAACAAGTATTTTTTTTTTAGTATGACCATTTTTTTAGTTTCACTTCCTAAAATCGGGGCATGGCATTTTGGTGCCATCTGCTGGAGATCGTTAGAAAGGCGACCTCAATGAAATTCGGAAATTTCAGAAGGGAAGCCATACATATGGCCCTGCATTTATATATATAACCTAATTTGTGCGATAAGAGGCGAATTCTTATTTTTGGAGCGAAACAAATGTTACGCAATCATTAAATACACGTTGAGAAAGGGGACACATGTACAAATAGACTGAGATGATAAACGAGGATTGGACGCGCAACCACGTCAGACGATTTCGGCAAAAGAATGATAAACGAGGGCACACACCAGACACGCGACCAGAGATGTCACAACAAGGATTGGGTGCATGACGATGGCTGAGCGACACACAAGTCGTGTGCACGTTATCTCAACGAAAGGAATTGTTGGGGAAAAACAGCAGGCAAGAGAAGTGATTGTTTAGATCCGGGAAGATGGACCAAGTTCAAAGTGATTACACAAGAAGGCGATGGACAGCAGGGTTTGGATGCTTTTGCAAAATTCTAATTTGGTCATACAAAGCAACACACCGGTTTGACTTGCGAAGAAAATGTCTCATTGGTGCACATTACTCTGGACTATAAGAACGCGTACCCCAGTTGAATTATGAGCTGCTCCTAATTTCTGTGAAGAAAATGTCTCATTGGTGCACATTACTCTGGATTATAAGAACGCGTACCCCAGTTGAATTATGTGCTGCTCCTAATTTCTGTGAAGAAAATGTCTCATTGGTGCACATTACTCTGGATTATAAGAACGCGTACCCCAGTTGAATGATGCGCTGCTCCTAATTTCTGTGAAGAAAATGTCTCATCGGTGCACATTACCCGCTGAGATACAGATCGGAATCATGGACACCGACATGCAAATGGAACAAACGATGAACGGTAATAATAACAATAATAATAAAAAAACGCTCATATATAAGTGCCGAGGTGCATGTTAGAAATTACGTTGACACAAAGCGGAACACGTGGACACGGGAACACATGCTATTTAGAGACATCGTGTTGACTGCTAAGATAAGCGGGCAGGAGACCTCTCGAGATGGCCGCGACCGGTTACGGATTGGCAGCAGCTGTGAGAGATTTGTGCCCACAGAGGACGGACGCTGTGGAGACGGAGTGATTAAATACGAGCTGGCGCGCAAAGCGAGACAGAATGTGGCACCGTGGTATCGTGGGGTGTAGCAAGGATGCGGGGGAGGCCTTCGTTTAGCAGTGGACGGATCATGTCACCATGATGATGATGATGACGACAGGGAATTGTGTGAGCTGTGAGATTGCTAGTAGCCTAGCAGCGTCGAGGGCTGCTGTGCCCAGTAGGCTAGTAGCGCATTGGGACTGAGCTCGCGAGGATCGTGGGGCACGTCTTCTGGAGTCGACCCGTTAAGAGTAACCACTTTCCCCGCCACCTCACCGACATTGAGAATCGTCGCGCCTTGCCGCTGCATTCACCGTCTGGAACTCACTTCCCCCGACCATCCGCGCTGTCCACTCCCTTCCCAGCCTCTGCGAAAGCCAAGGCTCAAGACCGGCCCAGTTTTCCCCACTGCCTTCGACTGCTCCTCTCTGTAAATGTCCCTGTTCACGCAACGCGTATTAGATTGCTGTGTAAATCTACACAGCATCGTGCTGCATTCGATTCAATGGCATATACTGCATGTGTCTTATATCGTGACGATGGTAGCGGCCACTACTGACTGCAGGTGACCACGTGAAATCCGTCCATCATGCAACCATTGCGTTCCGGCATATCCTAATCGTCGAACGAAATAAACCACGTTCGCATTTGTTTTTCTTGAATGCACACGCAAGTCCGTTCGTGCATCGTGAACGAAGTGAGGGACTTTAATTGATTATTGATTAATGATTAATGGACGCAACCTCACACCTCCAGCTACGGCACGCAGAGCTGTTTGCTCGCATGGACTCATCTGAATACGCCACTGTCTGTGGTGCTGGAAGAGTCCATTCTTCACATGGCGGAGCAGGGGGGGGGGGGTGTTGGAGACTGATCGACTGCCCCCAATTCTATTCGAGGCTCTCCTCCAATTCCACACCGCTTGCAGTTGTGTTCGAACGGTATGCTTAATGAAATGGGTTGATTAGCGGGTTGGAGGGGATGTCTACACGGAGCATTTGGAGGGGCCTGTGTCGCTGACACCCCCACTATTGAGCGCTTGGTCTCGCCCTCTCTTGCTGCTGCTGCACGGTTAGAGGGGAGGCGAGGAGGAGGAGCGGGTGGCCGGGCGTGGTGGTTGTGGTGGTCGTGGTGTGCGTGAATGGCGCACATTGTGAGTACTGCTTCGGGTGTGCGGTGCCGGGTGGGTGGGGGGTCGCTGTGGGGGGAGGTGGGGGACTGTGTGTTTGTGTGAAGATTGATGCAGGGTGTGGTGTGTGTGTGTGTTCTGTGTGTATGCCGTGCATGTGGTGTATATGCAGTGTGGTGGGTGGTGTGTATGCCTCGATGTGATGTCATGTGATGTCATGTGGGTGGCATGTGGTGTGGATTGATGTGGTGTGTGTATGTGATGTGGTGTGGGGAGCGGTAGTGTAGCGGTTAGCGCGCTGCGCTATGAACCCGGTAACAAGGGTTCGATTCCCGCTCACGGCCAACACCAGTGACGATTATCTGAACCGGTCCCGGGCCTCCCCTAGGTCGACTCAGCCTCAATTGAGTACCTGGTGCGGTGTGGAAACATCGCCACTGGGGAGACAAAGGCGGTCGGGCGTGGTGCTGGCCACCCTCCCCCTTGTGTGCCATTCCGGCCTTAATAGGTTCTCGCTAACAGCACTTGTCCCTACAGTCTGTTAAGGCTATACGGGGGATCTTTGTCTTTTTTGTGATGTGGTGTGTGCATGGATGTAATATGATATGATGTGGGGTGTGTGGTGTGTGTGTATCATGTGATGTGTGGTGTGTGTGTATCATGTGATGTGTGGTGTGTGTGTATCATGTGATGTGGTGTGTGTGTGTGTGGTGTGTGTGTGTGTACTGTGTGGTGTTTGTATCATGTGATGTGGTGTGTGTGTGGTCGAGGACGTGTCAGTAGTATGTGGTGTGTGTGTGTGTGTACCATGTGATGTGTGGTGTGTGTGTATCATGTGATGTGGTGTGTGTGTGGTGTGCATGTGTGTGTACTGTGTGGTGTGTGTGTGTATCATGTGATGTGGTGTGTGTGTGTACCATGTGATGTGTGGTGTGTGTGTATCATGTGATGTGGTGTGTGTGGTGTGTGTATGTGTGTACTGTGTGGTGTGTGTGTGTATCATGTGATGTGGTGTGTGTGTGTACCATGTGATGTGTGGTGTGTGTGTATCATGTGATGTGGTGTGTGTGTGTGTGGTGTGTGTGTGTACTGTGTGGTGTGTGTGTGTATCATGTGATGTGGTGTGTGTGTGTGTGTACCATGTGATGTGGTGTGTGTGTGGTCCAGGACGTGTCAGTAGTATGTGGTGTGTGTGTGTACCATGTGATGTGTGGTGTGTGGTCCAGGACGTGTCAGTAGAATGTGGTGTGTAAGGGGCCTGCGTGTAGCACGCTTCGCGACGCACCCGGCGACCCGAGTTGGATTCCCGCTCACGGCCAACATCGGTGACGAATGTCTGAACTGGTCCTGGGTCTCCCCTAGATCGACTCAGCCTTGTATGAGTACCTGGTACGATCTGTAAACACCTCCACTAGGGAGACAAAGGCGGTCGGGCGTGGTGCTGGCCACCCACCCTCTCGTGTACCGTACCGGCCTTCATAGGTGCTACTCGCTAACAGCACTTGCCCCTACAGTCTGTTAAGGGGATATTTGTGTGTATTGTGCTGTGGTAATGCGTGTTTATGTGGCGTGTGTTGTATGTGTGGTTGCTATTTATGTGTTTGATGATTTAGTGTGTAATTGGGGTGAGGATGTGTGGTGTATGTGCTTGAGTGCGTCATGTGTGGTGTGATGTAGTTGACGCGATGTGGGAATGTGGTCCAAGGCTGTCAGGTGTAGCTGGCGGGATGTCGTGTAGGAAGCGTAGGTGTGATGCATTTGTGGTGCTATTACAGTATGTAGTGTGTGTGCTGTGTGGTTTGTATTTGTGTGATGCAATGCGTGTGATGTGGTATTTGTTTGGTGTATGCGGTGTGGGATTTATGTACACACCACACCCGTCATAAGTTATTATGATAATCTTTGCAATTATGAAGGTCATTTAGAGATTAATTAATTATTAAGCACGCCGCAATCATCACAACAATGAAGTTAGACGTAATAATAATCATCACCACCATCCCCGACATGATCACAATCGTCACAATCATCATCACAACCATCATCACAATCATCGCAATCATCACAACCATCATCACAATCATCGCAATCATCATCACACTAATCATCACAATCATCATCACAATCACCATCACAACCATCATCATTCTCTCTCGGCAGCTGAATCTGAACTGGTTCTCTGCTCTGTGGTCTCGGGATGAGATTTGAAGGCTCACGAATCGATCCAGGAATGGGATGCACGGTGTTGATTTTATGATAGCGCCTTCAGCGGCTGCGCGAGTGTCGGGATCGGTTACATGCGATGCGTGAAAATAAATACCCGACCACCTTCACAACTCGATACGATTCTATGCGAGCTTATTACCCGATATTAACCAATGATTTCGACGTATTGATCCGTCCATTAATACTCCTGTGGTGCATACATGCACTTGTACCCCATGTGTGACGTCTGCACGTGCACGTGTACCCCCTGTGTGACGTGTACCTCCTGTGTAACGTCTGCAAGTGCACGTGTACCCCCTGTGTGACGTGTACCTCCTGTGTGACGTCTGCACGTGTACGTGTACCCCTGTGTGACGTGTCCCCCTGTGTAACGTCTGCACGTGCACGTGTACCCCTGTGTGACGTGTACCTCCTGTTTGACGTCTGCACGTGCACGTGTACCCCCTGTCTCCCCAGAATGGATGAGCACGTGCAGAGGGTGGATATGGAGGAGGCTCCACCTCGTGATCTGACACGCAACCCACGTCAAGAGCTTTAACCGGTCCATACCACACGCACCACACTCCCCTCGTCACACTCACCACACCCACCACACTCCCATCATCACGCTCACCATAACCACCACACTCCCATCATCACACTCACCACACTCACCACAACCACCACACTCCCATCATCACACTCACCATAACCACCACACTCCCCTCGTCACACTCACCACACCCACCACACTCCCATCATCACACTCACCATAACCACCACACTCCCATCATCACACTCACCACACCCACCACACTCCCATCATCACACTCACCACACCCACCACACTCCCATCATCACACTCACCATAACCACCACACTCCCATCATCACACTCACCATAACCACCACACTCCCATCATCACACTTACCACGCCCACCACACTCCCATCATCACACTCACCATAACCACCACACTCCCATCATCACACTTACCACGCCCACCACACTCCCATCATCACACTCACCACAACCACCACACTCCCATCATCACACTCACCATAACCACCACACTCCCATCATCACACTCACCATAACCACCACACTCCCCTCGTCACACTCACCACACTCACCACACTCCCATCATCACACTCACCACACTCACCACACTCCCATCATCACACTCACCATAACCACCACACTCCCCTCGTCACACTCACCACACCCACCACACTCCCATCATCACACTCACCACACCCACCACACTCCCATCATCACACTCACCATAACCACCACACTCCCCTCGTTACACTCACCATAACCACCACACTCCCCTCGTTACACTCAACACATCCACCACACTCCCATCATCACACTCACCATAACCACCACACTCCCATCATCACACTCACCATAACCACCACACTCCCATCATCACACTCACCATAACCACCACACTCCCCTCGTCACACTCACCACACCCACCACACTCCCATCATCACACTCACCATAACCACCACACTCCCCTCGTTACACTCACCACCCCCACCACACTCCCATCATCACACTCACCATAACCACCACACTCCCATCATCACACTCACCATAACCACCACACTCCCCTCGTCACACTCACCACACCCACCACACTCCAATCATCACACTCACCACACTCACCACACTCCCCTCGTCACACCACACGCTCACACTCCCCTCGTCACACTCACCATAACCCCGTCATCACATTCCCCACACGTTCCTCATCATACCGCCTGACGTCCTGATGGCACCAGCAGCGTCTGGTGGCATCAGAACCCCAGCAGCGTCAAATACAGCAGGGGCTGCGATGTTTACTGAAATAAAAGTGCCTCTCAAACTTGGAAGGACCCTCTTAGCTACACCCCCGACATTCATCTACGTGTGTCGTGTGTGTGTGGTGTGTGTCGTGTGTGTGTGGTGTGTGTGTGGTGTGTGTGTGTGTCGTGTGTGTGTGTGGTGTGTGTGTGTCGTGTGTGTGGTGAGTGTCGTGTGTGTGTCGTGTGTGTCGTGTGTGTGGTGTGTGTGTCGTGTGTGTGGTGTGTGTGTGTGTGTAGTGTGTGTGTGTAGTGTGTGTGTGTGTGTGTCGTGTGTGTGTGTGTGTGTCGTGTGTGTCGTGTGTGTGGTGTGTGTGTAGTGTGTGTGTAGTGTGTGTGTGTGTCGTGTGTGTGTGTGTCGTGTGTGTGTCGTGTGTGTCGTGTGTGTGGTGTGTGTGTCGTGTGTGGTGTGTGTGTGTCGTGTGTGTGTGGTGTGTGTGTGGTGTGTGTTGTGTGTGTGGTGTGTGTGGTGTGCGTCGTGTGTGTGTGGTGTGTGTGTGTGTGGTGTGTGTCTTGTGTGTGTGGTGTGTGTGTGTGTGGTGTGTGTCGTGTGTGTGTGTTGTGTGTGTGGTGTGTGTGTGGTGTGTGTGTGGTGTGTGTGGTGTGTGTCGTGTGTGTGGTGTGTGTGTGGTGTGTGTGTGGTGTGTGTGTGGTGTGTGTGGTGTGTGTCGTGTGTGTGTGGTGTGTGTCGTGTGTGTGTGTGGGGTGTGTGTGGTGTGTGTGTCGTGTGTGTGTAGTGTGTGTGTGTCGTGTGTGTGTGTGTGTCGTGTGTGTGTCGTGTGTGTCGTGTGTGTGTCGTGTGTGTGTGTGTCGTGTGTGTGTGGTATGTGTGTCGTGTGTGTCCTGTGTGTGGTGTATGTGTGTGGTGTGTGTGGTGTGTGTGTTGTGTGTGTGGTGTGTGTGGTGTGTGGTGTGTTTGTGTGTGTGGTGTGTGTGGTGTGTGTGTGTGGAGTGTGTGTGGTGTGTGTGTCGTGTGTGTCGTGTGTGTGTCGTGTGTGTGGTGTGTGTGGTGTGTGTCGTGTGTGTGTGGTGTGTGTGTGGTGTGTGTCATGTGTGTGTGGTGTGTGTGTGGTGTGTGTGTGGTGTGTGTCATGTGTGTGTGGTGTGTGTGTGGTGTGTGTCGTGTGTGTGGTGTGTGTGGAGTGTGTGTGTGTCGTGTGTGTGTGTGTCGTGTGTGTGTCGTGTGTGTCGTGTGTGTGTCGTGTGTGTGTGTCGTGTGTGTGTGGTATGTGTGTCGTGTGTGTCGTGTGTGTGGTGTATGTGTGTGGTGTGTGTGGTGTGTGTGTGGTGTGTGTGTGGTGTGTGTGGTGTGTGTCGTGTGTGTGTGGTGTGTGTGGTGTGTGTGGTGTGTGGTGTGTTTGTGTGTGTGGTGTGTGTGGTGTGTGTGTGGTGTGTGTGTGTGGTGTGTGTGTGTCGTGTGTGTGTCGTGTGTGTGGTGTGTGTGGTGTGTGTCGTGTGTGTGTGGTGTGTGTGGTGTGTGTCATGTGTGTGTGGTGTGTGTGTGGTGTGTGTCGTGTGGGTGGTGTGTGTGGTGTGTGTCGTGTGCGTGGTGTGTGTGGTGTGTGTCGTGTGTGTGTGGTGTGTGTGTGGTGTGTGTGTCATGTGTGTGTGGTGTGTGTGTGGAGTGTGTGGTGTGTGTGTCGTGTATGTGTGTGGTGTGTGTGTGTGGTGTGTGTGTCGTGTGTGTGGTGTGTGTCGTGTGTGTGTGGTGTGTGTGGTGTGTGGTGTATGTGTCATGTGTGTGTGGTGTGTGTGTGGTGTGTGTGTGGTGTGTGTGTGTCGTGTGTGTGGTGTGTGTCGTGTGTGGTGTGTGTGGTGTGTGGTGTGTGTGGTTTGTGAGTGTGGTGTGTGTGGTGTGTGTGTGTGTCGTGTGTGTCGTGTGTGTGTGGTTTGTGTGGTGTGTGGTGCGTGTGGTGTGTGTGTGTGTGGTGTGTGTGTGGTGTGTGTGGTGTGTGTGTGGTGTGTGTGTGTGGTGTGTGTGGTGTGTGTGGTGTGTGTGTCGTGTGTGTGGTGTGTGTCGTGTGTGGTGTGTGTGGTGTGTGGTGTGTGTGGTGTGTGAGTGTGGTGTGTGTGGTGTGTGTGTGGTGTGTGTGTGTCGTGTGTGTGGTGTGTGTCGTGTGTGTGTGTGGTGTGTGTGGTGTGTGGTGTGTGTGGTGTGTGTCGTGTGTGTGTGGTGTGTGTGTGGTGTGTGTCGTATGTGTGTGTGGTGTGTGTGTGGTGTGTGTGTGTGGTGTGTGTCGTGTGTGTGTGGTGTGGGGGCAGCGTGGCTCTGGCCAACCACCCCTCCATTGTACCGTGCCTGCCTTCACAGGTGCTGACTCGCTGACAGCACTTGCCCCGAGATTCTGCTGAGTCCGTACGGGTGACCTTTGCCTGTGTCTCTCTGCGCAGCGTGCGCCGTGCGCGCTGTGCCGGTGCGGAGCGATGGGGGCCGCCCCGCCAGGGTCGCAGGCGCGAGGCTTGCGAGCTGCCGGTGCCTAGCGGCGAGGGGTCAGCAGCCGGTGCGAGCGGCCAGCAGCCCGCCTATGGTACGCGCACGCACGCGCGTGTGTAGGGGGGAGGGGGGAGTGGTGGCGCAGCGGTTAGCACGCTGTGCTACGAATCCCGGCGATGCGAGTTCCTTTCCCACTCATGACCAATAATAATAATAATAATGACAGTGGGAGTGAATATCACGGTATGTGAACATCGCCGCTGGGGAGACAAAGGCGGCCGGGCGTGGTGTTAGCTCCCCGCCCCCCTTCGTGTGCCGTGCGGACATTAATAGGTGATCGCTATCGGCACTTTCCCCACAAGTCTGTTCAGGCTACGCGGGGGCTCTTTGTCTTTGCGTGCGTGTGCCAGGATGCGCACAGCATGCCGTCCCCGCCGGAGTCTGCGAGCCCCCCCGCCTCCCCCACTCGCCACGAGGCCCCCGGTGAGGGCTCGCGGTCCGCCTCGCCGCATCCAGCAAGCCTCGCCCTGGGCCACGTTCCACCCACGTGTTCCACCCGCGTGTTCTACCCACGTGTTCCACCTCCTCTCCCGCGTGATCCACCCACGTGCTCCACCCACGTGTTCCACCCCCTCTCCCGCGTGCTCCACCTACGCGTTCTATCCCCTCTCCCCGCGTGTTCCACCCACGTGTTCCACCCCCTCACCCCGCATGTTCCACCCACGTGTTCCACCCACTCTCCTCGCGTGTTCCACCCACGTGTTTCACCCACTCTCCTCGCGTGTTCCACCCACGTGTTCCACCCACGTGTTCCACCTACTCTCCCCGCGTGTTCCACCCACGTGTTCCACCCACTCTCCCCGCGTGTTCCACCCATGCGTTCCACCCCCTCTCCTCGCGTGTTCCACCCACGTGTTCCACCCGCTCTGCCTGCGCATTCCACCCGCGCGTTCCACTTCAATGTTCCACCCATACGTTGGGTTCGCAAATTTTACCCACAAGTTCAATCTGGAACGTCCATCCGTACGTTCCAGGCACATGTTCAGTGCATGTGTGGGTGTTCTCCTCTGCATGTGTCCCGTGTGTGAACACTTGTGTGCCTGTTTGTATCGGTTGTTGCATGTGTGTGTGTGTGTGTGGGAGTAGTATTGTAGCAGTTAGTGCGCTACGCTATGCACCCGGCGACCCGAGTTCGATTCCCGCTCACGTCCAACATCAGTGACGATTATCTGAACCGGTCCTGGGCCTCGCCTAGGTCGACTCAGCCTCAAATGAGTACCTGATGAGGTGCATAAAAACATCGCCACCGGGGAGACAAAGGCGACCGGGCGTGGTTCTGGCGACCTACCCTCGTGTGCTGTTATGGCCTTAATAGGTGCTTGCTAACTGCACTTGGCCCAACAGTCTGTTAAGGATATACGGGGGATCTTTGTCTTTGTTATTTCAGATCTCGACTCTCCCAGCTACGAACGGATTGACACAGAAGATCGGGTATGGACTGTTTACAGCTCTGGCACATTCTAAATGTCCGTGTCGCACTCTCGCGGCCGTAATGAACTTTAAATCTCTCATAATTGAAAAACAATTTTACCATTCACCACCCTGTTGTCAATGTATGCGTGTTGAACTTTTTTCGCAACGTACGTAGCCATCCGTGCTAATCGGAGGTGCGGGGGAAGGACAACAAACTAACACACAACAACAACAACAACATTTCCACTGCTTGTGATGGCCTCTCCACAACCGTGCCGGTCATGGAAGTTGCTCGACCAAACCTCATCCGTGAGAGATATCACATCGCCTCTTGCGAAAAACGTTCAGTGGGTCTCGGAAAGGATGCGTCACGGCTCGAAGCGATGATTTCCGATGATCGAGAATGATCACGGAGTGGCAACCAAAGCCGTGGAGCGCGTCCTTTGACAGGACGTCCACCGAAGAGATGGAACGATAAAATCATCTCGTATGCAGGTGCTGTACCGGGTGGGCTACTACATCGCAGGGTCGTGAGAGGTGGTGGTGGTGGCGCCTAGGGAAGGTCTCATCATCCAGCAGTGGATTGAACCGTGGTTAGCAACATACTTTACAGGTATAAACACTAAAAACATCTTAATATGTAGAGGGCCACGGAACTTGGGCATTCGTTGACGGCGCTGCACATCTGCGGTCCCTCGTCGATTGCGGGAAGCAACGCACAAGAACGACGCCACGGTACATATATATAAAAAGATGTTAACACTTCTGAGAATTTACAACAATACCACGTGACATGTGCTGCTGCCTCGGGGCTCTGGAGACCACCTGGAGACGATTCCAGGCCACGTGTTCACAATGATGGCTTACACGTGGGAGAGACTCTTTGACTTTTTGAAGCTATTAACAGTTACATTTTGATTTAAAGCTTTCGTGACTGCAGGAATTCATATTGTTTCCCTTCTACGTGACTTTACCGAAAGAACCAAGAATATCTATTAACAGTTGTTATGTTACAGTGTAGTATTATTATCCGGTCTTTTGCCATTAAAGGCGACAGTCCCATATAAGCTAGAACACTCTAAAACATTCACCGCTGTATCCATAAAAATATCGCGCGGCAGTGGAGAAGCGGCAGCAACAAGGCCCCAAGAAGGCCCCGACTATCACCCATCACGTCGCCCTTTGCCCCACACTGCGGCAGAATCGTCGGCTCTCGGGGCGGCCTTGTCAGCCGTCTGAAGACCCAGAAACAGGACCTGCCAAGAGGACAATCACAATCGACCCCGCGCGCTCGTCGATGATGGTATATAGGAAACTAGACCACTCTCAAACATTAACCGTCGGCTCAAACCTCTTCTTCCTTTCAGGCATCGCAGTGCGTGGATGGTTTGAAGGTAAAGGTACAACGCAAACACAGCGAGACATATCTTATAAAACTGAACAATTTTTTTATTTATTTTACCGGGTAAAGGCCCACTGAGCGATGTAGCTCTTTATCAGAAACGACCTCGCCACAAGTGATATCTCAATGAAGTGGCTCATCGTCACGTAGAAATGCACAGTGGCCAAATGCGATTGAAACGCATGTTTCTAAATGTGGAGGGAAAAACCGGAGAACCGGAGACAAATCGATCCCGAGCCACGCGGTGAGAAACGCGCAAACTCCAAATATACAGCAGCAGCAGCAGGCGGCAGGGTCGGAATGGAACCCACGACCTCCTTGCATACCGGGCGAGGCAGTGAACATCTCCTAGCCACCGCGGGACAGCGGTGGCAGCTCTGCACTCTGACCCCCAAAACCGACCCGGCCACCTTTGCGGTGGTTGCCCTCGGTAAGGCCACAGACCACACTGAGAGCGCGAGACCGAGGACCGCACGAATTCTGCCCCCCCAACCCCCGCCTTGTCAGCTTCAGGCTCCCCTGGGGCTCCAGGACTTTGAGCTGCTGCGCGTGATCGGCCGTGGGAGCTACGCCAAAGTGCTGCTCGTGCGACTGCGCACGACGGAGAGCGTCTACGCCATGAAGGTGGTCAAGAAGGACATCGTCAACGACGAGGAGGTACGAGTCACGAGCGGCGCGCGTGCCCGTGTGCGACAGGGGAACGGTGGCGCAGTGGTTAGCGCGCCGTGCTACGCAAATACAATTTAAACGATAAAAAACACTTTTTTGTAACCAGGTAAGGCCCACTAAGCTACATAACTCTTTTTCAGAAGCAAACCTGGTTATCACAAATCATACCTCAACGGAGTGGCTTTACATCAAATGTATCGCAGCCAAAAACTCTAAACGCGTGAAGTTGATTATAAATTTGGAGGTAAAAACCGGAGGACTCGGAGAAAAATCCATGCAACCACGGGGAGAGAGACACACAAACTCCAAATATACAGCAGGCGTCGGGGTCAAACCCACGACCTCCTGTACACCAGGCGAGGTAGTTGACATGTCGCCACCGTGGTGCCCGGCCACCCGAGTTCGATTCCCGCTCACGATCAACAACACCGGTGGCGATCATCTGAATCGGTGCTGGGCCTCCCTAAGGTCGACTCAGCCTCAACTGAGTCCACGCTGCGGTGTGTAGTAAACATCGGCCTTCATGGGTGCTACTCGCAAACAGCAACTCTGTTAAGGCTATACGGGGGATCTTTGCCTTTGTGCGTGTGTGGACACAGGACATCGACTGGGTGCAGACAGAGAAGCACGTGTTCGAGCAGGCATCAAACCACCCCTTCCTGGTGGGCCTGCACTCCTGCTTCCAGACAGAGAGCCGGTGACAGACGCACCCGCACACTCATTCATACACACTCACACCCGCACACTCATTCACACACGCTCACACCCGCACACTCATTCGCACACGCTCACACCCGCACACTCATTCATACACGCTCACACCCGCACACTCATTCACACACGCTACACCTCCACACTCATTCATACACGCTCACACCCGCACACTCATTCACACACGCTCACACCCGCACACTCATTCACACACGCTCACACCCGCACACTCATTCATACACGCTCACACCCACACACTCATTCATACACACTCACACCCGCACACTCATTCATACACACTCACACCCGCACACTCATTCACACACGCTCACACCTCCACACTCATTCACACACGCTACACCTCCACACTCATTCACACACGCTACACCTCCACACTCATTCATACACACTCACACCTCCACACTCATTCATACACACTCACACCCGCGCACTCATTCATACACGCTACACCTCCACACTCATTCATACACGCTCACACCCGCACACTCATTCATACACGCTCACACCCGCACACCCATTCATACACACTCACACCTCCACACTCATTCATACACGCTACACCTCCACACTCATCAGAATCAGAATCAGAATCAGAAAGGGTTTTATTCGCCATGTAAGTTCACACCGACACGGAATTTACTTTGGCAGGATGGTGCATACATTCAACATATAGGAATCTAAAATCTTAAATAAGTTTTAAACAAGTCTTACTATAATAAGGGTTAAAAGTCTAACACTAAGGGGCTGAAGTATATAAAATTAAATAAATATCGAATATAAAATAGCTTTAAGATATAATTTAAAAATACAAATAGGGAAACATAGTTAATATCAGCAACGTGTCGTTATGTAGATCAAATGTTAAAAACAGTGTTAGCCCTTGGCCTTGTTTAACAGGCCAGCAGCAGATGGGAAGAAACTGTTTTTATGGCGTGAGGTTTTGGTCCTGATGGACCGAAGCCTTCTGCCGGAGGGGAGTAGCTGAAACAGAGAGTGTCCAGGGTGGGAGAAATCGGCCATAATCTTCCTCGCTCGCCTCATAGACCTTGTCGTGTGCAGGTCCTCGAGGGTCGGTAGATTGCAGGCAATTACCTTCTCAGCAGTGTGGATGATACGCTGCAGTCTGCTCTTGTCCTTGGCAGTGGCAGCAGCGTACCAGACGGTTATGGAGGAGGTGAGGATGGATTCAATGATCGCTGTATAGAATTGCACCATCATTGTCTTTGGCAGGTTGAATTTCTTCAGCTGCCGTAGAAAGTACATCCTCTGTTGAGCTTTCTTGGTGAGGGAGCTGATGTTCAATTCCCACTTGAGGTCCCGGGAGAGAATAGTGCCCAGGAAGCGGAAGGACTCTACAATTTTTACTGGGGAGTCTAACAGGGTGATGGGGGTGAGTGGTGCTGTATTCTTCCTGAAGTCCACAACCATCTCAACTGTCTTTAGAGCATTTAGCTCTAAGTTGTTCTGGCTACACCAGGTCACCAGATTGTCAGCTTCCCACCTATAGTCAGACTCATCCCCACCAGAGATCAGCCCAATGAGGGTGGTGTCATCCGCAAACTTCAATAGTTTGACGGACAGATGATTGGAGGTGCAGCTGTTGGTATACAGGGAGAAGAGCAGAGGGGAAAGGACGCAGCCCTGAGGAGTTCCGGTGCTGATGGACCTGGAGCCAGAGACTTGTGTTCCCAGCTTAACGCACTGCTTCCTGTCAGACAGGAAGTCTGTGATCCATTTACAGGTGGTGTATGGCACGTTCAGCTGGAAGAGCTTGTCCTGAAGCAGGGCAGGGATGATGGTGTTGAAGGCAGAGCTGAAGTCCACAAACAGGATCCTGGCGTAGGATGCTGGGGCGTCCAGATGCTGTAGGGTGAAGTGGAGGGCCATGTTAACTGCATCGTCCACAGACCTGTTGGCTCTGTAGGCAAACTGAAGGGGGTCCAGGAGAGGGTCTGTGATGGCTTTGAGGTGTGCCAGGACCAGGCGCTCAAAAGACTTCATTACCACAGATGTAAGGGCGACCGGTCTGTAATCATTTAGTCCTGTTGGCCTTAGCTTTTTGGGCACAGGGATGATGGTGGAGGACTTGAGACAGGCTGGTACATGGCATGTCTCCAGGGAGGTGTTAAAGATGTTGGTGAACACCGGAGACAGCTGGTCAGCGCAGTGCCTGAGGGTGGCTGGAGAGACAGAGTCCGGCCCGGCTGCTTTGCGTGGATTCTGCCTCTTGAAAAGTCTATTAACTTCTCCCTCCTGAAAGGAGATAGTCGTCTCTGTAGTATTGGTGGGGGATGGGGCCTCTTGGGTTGGAAGGGGTGGTTCAGGACAGTCCAATTGTCTTTCAAATCTACAGTAGAACTCGTTCAGGTCGTTGGCTAGGCGGGAGTCGTTAGTGGTGTGGGGGGCTCTGGGTTTGTAGTTGGTGATCTGCCTGAGCCCTCTCCAGACAGAAGCAGCGTCGTTTGTAGAGAACTGGTGTTTTAGTCTCTCTGAGTACAGTCGTTTAGCCTCTCTCACCGCTTTGCTAAACCTGTTCTTCGACTCCTTGAATCTGTCTCTATCTCCACTCCTAAACGCTTCCTCCTTCTCCAACCTCAACCTTCTGAGCTTTGCTGAGAACCAGGGCTTATTGTTGTTAAAGTTCACCCTGGTACGTGTTGGGATACAGCAGTCCTCACAGAAGCTGATGTAGGACGTCACAGCCTCTGTGAGTTCATCCAGACTATTGGTAGCAGTCGTGAACATATCCCAGTCAGTACAGTCTAAGCACGCCCGCAAATCTTCCACAGCCTCACTGGTCCACTGTTTAGATGTCCTCACAGCAGGTTTACAGAGTTTTAGTTTCTGCCTGTATGCAGGAATCAGGTGGACCATGGCATGGTCAGAGTGTCCTAGTGCTGCTCGGGGGACGGCGTGGTAGGCTCTACTGACTGTAGTGTAACAGTGATCCAGAGTGTTCCCTTCTCTGGTTGGGCATTTAATGAATTGTATGTATTTGGGGAGTTCGTGGCTGAGATTACCTTTGTTAAAGTCGCCAAGTACGATAACCAACGAATCTGGATTTGCTCGCTCCACACTCAGAATCTGATCGGCGAGCATGCGTTGGGCCTCTTTAACCTGAGGACAAGGCGGCAAATAAACTCCGACCAAAATGAGCGACGCGAACTCGCGAGGCGAGTAAAACGGTTTACAGGTTATAAAAATTGATTCAAGGAGTGGAGAACAATGTTGCAGAATCACTGTGACATCTACACACCAGCCACGGTTAATGTAAAAACAAATACCACCGCCTTTCGTCTTGCCGGAGAGTGCTATGTCACGATCCGATCTTACAAGATGGAATCCTGCTAGTTGTAGCGAAGTGTCCGGAATCAAATCACACAGCCATGTTTCCGTGAAGCACAATGCAGAAGCTGAAAGAAAGTCTTTGTTTTTTACCATCAGTAGCTGAAGTTCATCCATTTTGTTGTACAGTGAACGTACGTTGGAGAGGAAAAAGCTCGGAAGCACTGTTCGGATCCCGCGTCTGCGTAGCCGTACTAGAGCCCCCGACCGTTTACCCCTTGGGCGGCGTTTCGTTGCTTGAGCAAAGCCTAGCGCGGCATTGACTAGAATGCCTACTAATTCTGCCGCTGGAAGCAGAAAAGTAGGAATTAAATCCACAGGAGTTGTTTCCCTGATATTTAAAAGTTCGTCTCTTGTTAGAGAACTCCGAAAATCTTGGCAAAACACTGAATTGACAGACAAAACAAGACAAAACAGGGCGCACCGACCGGCTGAGGCTACCATCATCAGCGCCATCTTCGCACCAGCACGGGTGTGCTGAACAGCAGGACTCTCTCACCAGCACTGGTGTGTTGAACAGTAGGCCCCTCTCACCAGCATGGGAGTGGTGAACAGCAGGCCCCTCTCACCAACACGGGTGTGATGAACAGTAGGCCTCTCTCACCAGCATGGGAGTGAACAGCAGGCCCCTCTCACCAACACGGGGGTGATGAACAGCACGCCCCTCACACCAGCACGGGTGTGATGAATAGTAGGCCTCTCTCACCAGCACGGGTGTGATGAACAGCAGGTCCCTCTCACCAGCACGGGTGTGTTGAACAGCAGGCCCCTCTCACCAGCACGGGTGTGTTGAACAGCAGGCCCCTCTCACCAGCACGGGTGTGTTGAACAGCAGGCCCCTCTCACCAGCACGGGTGTGCTGAACAGTAGGCCCCTCTCACCAGCACGGGTCTGTTGAACAGCAGGCCCCTCTCACCAGCACGGGTGTGCTGAACAGTAGGCCCCTCAACACGGGTGTGCTGAACAGCAGGCCTCTCTCACCAACACGGGTGTGCTGAACAGTAGGCCCCTCAACAGCATGCCCCTCTCACCAGCACGGGTGTGCTGAACAGCAGGCCCCTCAACACGGGTGTGCTGAACAGCAGGCCTCTCTCACCAGCACCGGTGTGCTGAACAGCAGGCCCCTCTCACCAACACGGATGTGATGAACAGCAGGCCCCTCTCACCAGCACGGGTGTGCTGAACAGCAGGCCCCTCAACACGTGTGAGCTGAACAGCAGGCCTCTCTCACCAGCACGGGTGTGCTGAACAGCAGGCCCCTCTCACCAGCACGGGTGTGCTGAAAAGCAGGCCCCTCTCACCAGCACGGGTGTGTTGAACAGCAGGCCTCTCTCACCAGCAAGGGTGTGCTGAACAGCAGGCCCCTCAACACGGGTGTACTGAACAGCAGGCCTCTCTCACCAGCACGGGTGTGATGAACAGCAGGCCCCAAAACAGCAGGCCTCTCTCACCAGCACGGGTGTGATGAACAGCAGGCCTCTCTCACCAGCACGAGTGTGTTGAACAGCAGGCCTCTCTCACCAGCACGAGTGTGTTGAACAGCAAGCCCCTCTCAAGACAAAACAAGACAAAACTGGACAAAACAGGGCGCACCAACCGGCCGAGGCTGCCATCATCGGCGCCATCTTGACCACTCATTCATACACGCTCACACCCGCACACTCATTCATACACGCTCACACCCGCACACTCATTCATACACACTCACACCCACACACTCATTCATACACGCTACACCTCCACACTCATTCATACACGCTACACCTCCACACTCATTCATACACGCTACACCTCCACCCTCATTCATACACACTCACACCTCCACACTCATTCATACACACTCACACCCGCACACTCATTCATACACACTCACACCTCCACACTCATTCATACACGCTCACACCTCCACACTCATTCATACACGCTACACCTCCACACTCATTCATACACACTCACACCCGCACACTCATTCACACACACTCACACCCGCACACTCATTCATACACGCTACACCTCCACACTCATTCATACACACTCAGACCCGCACACTCATTCATACACACTCACACCCGCACACTCATTCATACACACTCACACCCGCACACTCATTCATACACACTCACACCCACACACTCATTCATACACGCTACACCTCCACACTCATTCATACACACTCACACCCGCACACTCATTCATACACACTCACACCCGCACACTCATTCATACACACTCACACCCGCACACTCATTCATACACACTCACACCCGCACACTCATTCACACACGCTACACCTCCACACTCATTCACACACACTCACACCCACACACTCATTCATACACGCTACACCTCCACACTCATTCATACACACTCACACCCGCACACTCATTCATACACACTCACACCCGCACACTCATTCATACACACTCACACCCGCACACTCATTCATACACACTCACACCCGCACACTCATTCACACACGCTACACCTCCACACTCATTCACACACACTCACACCCACACACTCATTCATACACGCTACACCTCCACACTCATTCATACACGCTCACACCCGCACACTCATTCATACACACTCACACCTCCACACTCATTCATACACGCTACACCTCGACACTCATTCATACACGCTACACCTCCACACTCATTCATACACGCTACACCTCCACACTCATTCATACACGCTACACCTCCACACTCATTCATACACGCTCACACCCGCACACTCATTAATACACACTCACACCCGCACACCCATTCATACACGCTACACCCGCACACTCATTCATACACGCTACACCTCCACACTCATTCATACACGCTCACACCCGCACACTCATTCATACACACTCACACCTCCACACTCATTCATACACACTCACACCCGCACACCCATTCATACACGCTACACCCACACACTCATTCATACACGCTACACCTCCACACTCATTCATACACACTCACACCTCCACACTCATTCATACACACTCACACCCGCACACTCATTCATACACGCTGACACCCGCACACTCATTCATACACGCTACACCTCCACACTCATTCATACACGCTGCACCTCCACACTCATTCATACACGCTCACACCCGCACACACTCACACCCACACACTCATTCATACACGCTCACACCTCCACACGCTCACACCTCTACACACACTCACACCTCCACACACTCACACCTCCACACGCTCACATCCACACACACTCACACCTCCACACGCTCACATTCACACACACTCACACCTCCACACGCTCACATCTACACACACTCACACCTCCACACGCTCACATCCACACACACTCACACCCCCACACGCTCACACCCACACACGCTCACACCCCCCACACTCATTCCCTCCTATGCATTCATTCACACGTGCACTATCACTGGTACGCACACATATACACAGCTGCACACTCATTCCCTCCTGCACACTCTTGCAAATACGCTCACACGTCCACATACACTCATACACATGGACACAAAGCCATATACGTGTGATGTCGAGTTGCTGGTTGCTCGTGACGTCGAGTTGCTGGTTCCCCGTTGTGTCGAGTTGCTGGTTGCTCGTGGTGTCGAGTTGCAAGTTGCTCGTGGTGTCGAGTTGCAGGTTGCTCGTGGTGTCGAGTTGCTGGTTGCCCATGGTGTTGAGTTGCTGGTTGCCCATGGTGTTGAGTTGCTGGTTGCCCGCGGTGTCGAGTTGCTGGTTGCCCATGGTGTCGAGTTGCTGGTTGCCCGCGGTGTTGAGTTTGCCGGTTGTTTGTGATGTCGAGTTGCTGGTAGAGCGTGGTGTTGATTTGCTGGTTGTTTGTGATGTCGAGTAGATGATAGAGCGCGGTGTCGAGTTGCTGGTTGTTTGTGGTGTTGAGTTGCCGGTTGCTCGTGGTGGTGGCGGTGGTGGTGTTGCCCTCCAGGCTGTTTTTCGTGATCGACTACGTGAATGGAGGGGATCTGATGTTCCACATGCAGCGCCAGCGCAAGCTACCGGAGGAGCACGCGCGGTGAGCGGAGGCTGCCTCGCACGCAGACACAAAGCCCCCCACATTCGGACGCTCCCGTGAGGCCGGCAGCGGATCACGGTTTCGTTCTGGCTCGGCACGGCAAAACCAGGCAGTGGAAAAAAAACCCGCCCGTGCTGCGATGGCCCAGCGCTACCACTGTTTAAACGAAACTATTTTTTTTATTTCGCCAGGCAATGCCCACTGAGCTGCGTAGCTCTTTTTCAGTAGCGACCCGGCCACAAGTGATAGCTCCACGAAGTGGCTTGTCGCCATGGGGACATTTATAGCAGCCAAACACTCAGAACGCGTGACGTTGATTCTAAACGTGGAGGACCCGGAGAAAAATCCACGAGACCACGGGAAGAGAGACACGCACACTCACAATATACAGCAGTGGTCAGGGTCGGGATCAAACCCACAACCTCCTGTATACCAGGCGAGGTAGTTAACATCTCCTAGCCACCGTGGCACCCTGGCTTCGATGTGACACTGGAAACAAATGGGTGTTTATAGGTATCTGTGTGTGTGTGTGTAAATCTCCGTCTCTCCCTCCGTCTCCGTCTCTCGCTCTCTCCGTCTCTGCAGGTTCTACGCGGCGGAGATCTCGCTGGCGCTGCACTTCCTTCACGAGCACGGCGTCGTCTACCGCGACCTCAAGCTGGACAACGTGCTGCTGGACGCCGACGGACATGCCAAGCTCACCGACTACGGCATGTGCAAGGTGCAGGCCACCGGCGGGGCGCAGGCCACGAGGGTGACGCAGGCCACGAGGGTGACGCAGGCCACGAGGGTGACGCAGGCCACGAGGGTGACGCAGGCCACGAGGGTGACGCAGGCCACGAGGGTGACGCAGGCCACGAGGGTGGCGCAGGCCACCAGGGCAGTGGTGGAGGCCATCGGAGGGGTGGTGCAGGGAAGGAGAAGAGGGGAGCCCTGGGAGGAGGGGGGAGGAGGAAGGAGGGGACGAGGGAGGCAGGAAGGAAGGAGAGAAGGGGGGAAGGAGACAGGGAGGGAGGCAGAGAGGAGGGAAGGAAGGAGAGAGGGGTGAGGAGGGAAGAGGGAGGGAGGCAGGGAGGAGGCTGTGCCGGCCTTCGTAGGTGCCACTCGCTAATAGCACTTGCCCCAGCAGCCTGTGTAGGCTATAGTGAGGGGTGTCTTTGTGTGACACTGGGAGTGTGTGACACTGGGAGTGTGTGACACTGGGAGTGTGTGACACTGTGTGACACTGGGAGTGTGTGACACTGGGAGTGTGTGACACCGACACCTCACTAGTTCCAGCGGAGTCAAGATCGGCCTCTGGAGGGGGCTCGTGAAGGACGCTTCTGTGTGGAGGAGGCAGCCACCCTTCCAACAACGAGCGAAGTGGCTACAACACGGCGATTTGGCACAATGGGGAGCACAGGTGGTGGACCTGTCCGTCGGCGTAGGCTACCGGGGATCCTTCGTGTTTGTATCTACGCATAACTTCTTTAGCCCCGTACGTAGCCAACCGTGCTAATCGGAGGTGCGGGGGAAGGACAACAAACTAAACACAAAAAAGCAGTTCTCAAGAAATGAGTTTTCAATTTAAATGTAAACGTGCATAGCTCCCAGTGGTTTCCTAATATCGGCAGCCAAGAGCGTTCCAGACGGCCGCAATGGTGGCTTTGCGATGGTGGTTTTGCAATGGTGGCTTTGCGATGGTGGTTTTGCGATGGTGGTTTTGCGATGGTGGTTTACGTCCCTTGTGGGTGCAGGAGGGCCTGAGGCCAGGCGACACCACGAGCACGTTCTGCGGGACGCCCAACTACATCGCGCCCGAGATCCTGCGCGGAGAGGACTACGGTGCGAGAACGCTGCCACCCCCCATGGCTACTCGGCGTCTCTCCCTCTCTGCCTCTCTCTCTGCCTCTCTCTCTGCCTCTCTATCTCTCTCTCTCCCCTCTCTCTCCTCTCTCTGCCTCTCTCTATTTCTGCCTCTCTTTTTTACGATCAAAGGAAACAAGAAGATGCTCGGTGTAGTCGGCACTTTGCTTCGTTCATCATTTATTTTTTTGTGTTTTTTCATGCTTTGATTTATGTAAACCCCTCCCCCCCTTTTTCTCTCTGCCTCTCTCTCTCTCTCTGCCCCTCTCTCTGCCTCTCTCTCTCTCTCTGCCCCTCTCTCTGCCTCTCTCTCTCTCTGCCTCTCTGCCCCTCTCTCCGCCTCTCTCTCTCTCTGCCCCTCTCTCTGCCTCTCTCTGCCTCTCTCTCGCTCCGTGTGCGCGTGTCGCTGTGTGTTGTGTGAATATTGGTGGGGTGCGGTAGCGTAGTGGTTAGCGCGTCGCGCTACGAACCCGGTGGCATATGACAGCGGCGAATATTGGAAGCGGTCCTGTGCCTCGCCTAGGTCGACTCAGTCTCCATTTATGCGGTGTGTAAACATCAGCATTGGGGAGACAAAGACGGCACGGGCGGGCGTGTTTCTGGCCACGCCACTCCCTCGTGTGCTGTGTTGGGCTTCAGCGGTGCAGACAGCACTTGCCCCAACAGTCTGTGGAAGGCTGCACGGGATATCAGCCGTGGCCAGGTGGTGCCTGAGTTTTACACTCGTGGCGTTGAGTCGCCGGGTTGTTCGTGGCGTCGAGTTGCGTGCAGGCTTCAGCGTGGACTGGTGGGCCCTGGGGGTGCTCATGTTCGAGATGATGGCCGGGAGGTCTCCGTTCGACGTCGTGGGCGGCGCCAAGAACCCCGACCAGAACACCGAGGACTTCCTCTTCCAGGGTGCGCCGAGAGCTCCGTTCCCGGCGGAGAACGCGTCCCGTTGAAGACGGGGTGGGGGGTTTCACCATAATTGGCAAACCAAAATATTCCTTGTTCTGGAACGAGGTGAACAGTCCGCCTACTCGTCCCGGTATTTGTATTCTGTACGACAAGGGACGTTATTTCGTGCTACGCATTATTTAGTTTTCCGTCGAACTCAATTCACGGCTGCTCGCTAACAGCGCTTGCCCCAGCGGTCTGTTAAAAGCCATCCGGTGGATCATTGTCTGTGTAACCCGAGTTAATTTGCCGCTCACGGCCAACACCGGTGACGATTATCTGAATCGATCCTGGGGCTCCCCTAGGTCGACTCAACCTCAAATGAGTACCTGGTGCGGTATCATCACCACTGGGGAGACAAAGGCGGTCGGGCGTGGTGCGAGCCACCCACCTTCATAGTTGCTCGCTCACAGCAATTGCCCCAACAGTCGATCCAGGCTATACGGGGGGTCCTTGTCTTGTGTTTGTCCGTGCCAGTGATCCTCGAGAAGCCGATTCGGGTCCCTCGCTCGCTCTCCGTCAAAGCCTCCAACGTCCTCAAAGGGTTCCTCAACAAGGTGGGCTCACCGCCACACACGCACAGAGGCAGCCTACACGGGGGACCTTTGTCTGCGTGCGTGCCGGGCGTGCGTGGTGCTGGCCACCCATCCCCTCGTGCGCCGTCCCAGCCTTCCCGGGTGCTACTCGCTAAGAGCACTTGCCCTAGCAGCCTGTTGAGGCTACACGGGGGGCCTTCGTCTGTGTGACTGTGTGACCAGGACCCCCGCGAGAGGCTGGGATGCCACCCCGAGACGGGGTTTGTGGACATCCGTGCCCATCCCTTCTTCCGCTCCATTGACTGGGACCTGGTGAGGCACGCCTGCAACGGGCACGGCTCGCAATCACAGCACGCAATCACAGCACGCAATCATAACACAATCACAGCACGCAATCATAACAAATCACAGCACGCAATCACAGCACGCAATCACAGCACGCAATCACAGCACAATCAGCACGCAATCACAGTACAATCACAGCACAATCACAGCACAATCACAGCACGCAATCACAGGACGCAATCACAGCACGAAATCACAGCACGCAATCACAGCACGCAATCACAGCACAATCACAGCACGCAATCACAGCACAATCACAGCACAATCACAGCACAATCACAGCACAATCACAGCACGCAATCACAGGACGCAATCACAACACGCAATCACAGCACGCAATCACAGCACGCGATAGCAAGCAATCACAGCCCAGGACCGGTTCATATAATTGTCACTCGTGTTGGCCTTGTGAGCGGGAATCGAACCCGGGTTCACGCGTTCAGAGCGCAGTGGGCCAACCGCTGCCGTTTGCTGCTGCTGCTGCTGTTGTTGGTGTTGCTGCTGTTGTTGGTGTTGCTGCTGTTGCTGCTGTTGGTGTTGCTGCTGCTGTTGTTGGTGTTGCTGCTGCTGTTGGTGTTGCTGCTGCTGTTGTTGGTGTTGCTGCTGTTGTTGGTGTTGCTGCTGTTGCTGCTGCTGCTGTTGGTGTTGCTGCTGTTGTTGGTGTTGCTGCTGTTGCTGCTGCTGCTGTTGGTGTTGCTGCTGTTGTTGGTGTTGCTGCTGTTGCTGCTGTTGGTGTTGCTGCTGCTGTTGTTGGTGTTGCTGCTGTTGTTGGTGTTGCTGCTGTTGCTGCTGTTGGTGTTGCTGCTGCTGCTGTTGGTGCTGCTGTTGGTGTTGCTGCTGTTGTTGGTGTTGCTGCTGTTTTTGGTGTTGCTGCTTCTGTTGCTGTTGTTGGTGTTGCTGCTGTTACTGCTGTTGTTGGTGTTGTTGCTGTTGTTGGTGTTGTTGCTGCTGTTGCTGCTGCTGCTGTTGTTGTTGCTGCTGTTGCTGCTATTGTTGGTGTTGGTGCTGCTGTTGTTGGTATTGCTGCTGCTGCTGTTTGTGTTGCTGCTGCTGCTGTTGTTGGTGATGCTGCTGTTGTTGTTGCTGCTGTTGCTGCTATTGTTGCTGCTGCTGCTGTTGCTGCTGCTGTTGTTGGTGATGCTGTTGTTGTTGCTGCTGTTGATGTTGCTGCTGCTGCTGTTGTTACTGCTGCTGCTGTTGCTGCTGTCCGCAGCTGGAGAGGAGGGAGGCTGTGCCACCCTTCAAGCCGCACGTGTCCGAGGAGTTTGGGCTCGACAACTTCGACGCTCAGTTCACGACGGAGCCGGTGCAGCTCACGCCGGACGATGAGTGCGAGCGATCACGCACCGCGCGGTTCACTCATTCGCAACGCGTTCACTCGCTTCCAACGCGTTCACTCATTCGCAACGCGTTCACTCATTCCCAACGCGTTCACTCGCTCCCAACGCGTTCACTCGCTCCCAACGCGTTCACTCATTCCCAACGCGTTCACTCGCTCCCAACGCGTTCACTCACTCCCAACGCGTTCACTCGCTCCCAACGCGTTCACTCATTCGCAACGCGTTCACTCGCTCCCAACGCGTTCACTCGCTCCCAACGCGTTCACTCGCTCCCAACGCGTTCACTCGCTCCCAACGCGTTCACTCGCTCCCAACGCGTTCACTCGCTCTCAACGCGTTCACTCGCTCCCAACGCGTTCACTCATTCGCAACGCGTTCACTCATTCACAACGCGTTCACTCATTCGCAATGCGTTCACTCGCTCCCAACGCGTTCACTCGCTCCCAACGCGTTCACGCGCCGCGCGGGTCATTCTCTCCAGCACGCTCCACGCCGTCACGTCACATCCCAAGCCCCTCTGGTATCCCCGGGGCAGCCTCCCATCCATGGCCTAGCCAGGCCCAACCGCTTGCTTAGCTTCCCTGCTCCGTTGAGATGGGGCGCGTTCCGGGTGAGTCGGCGTCTCTGTCCTGACAGACCTGGGGGACTGCGTGTGCTGTCTGCCACGTGCACCGTCTGCCACGTGACCTTTCTGCGCCTGTTCCCCCCAGGGATTCCGTGAGGAAGATTGACCAATCGGAGTTCGAGGGGTTTGAGTACATCAACCCGCTGCTCCTGTCCACGGAGGAGTCGATATGAAGCACAAGAAGCCACGTAGACACACACGTAGACACACACGCAGACACACACACAGAGACACACACACAGACACACACACGTAGACACACACGTAGACACACACGCAGAGACACACACATAGAGACACACACACAGACACACACACGTAGACACACGTAGACACACGCTGACACACACGTAGACACACACGCAGACACACACACAGAGACACACACAGAGACACACACACAGACACACACGTAGACACACACGTAGACACACACGCTGACACACACGTAGACACACACGCAGACACACACAGAGACACACAGACACACACACGTAGATACACACGCAGACACACACGTAGACACACACGTAGACACACACGCACATACACACGTAGACACACACGTAGACACACACGCAAACACACACGCAGACACACACGCAGACACACACGTAGACACACACGCACACGCACACACACGTAGACACACACGCAGGCACACACGCAGACGCACACGCACACACAGCATTGCAGTAACAGACAACCTTCGTGCATTCTCTGTACCGTGGCAAGAAGTGCCGGGCAGATGAATGCTCACGAACGAGACACGTAGGAAAAACAAACACACACCTGGCTAGGTGCACTTTGAGGCCACGTGAAGCGTCGAATGCTCGCTGGCAGGAGGTCACGGAACAGACCCAGGTGCCATGGGTTGAATGGGATGACTGGCAGATGCACGCCCTATGCCCCCTACTGTGCCAACACGTACATGCATACGCAAAGATACGCACACAAAATACAAGGATCCTCTGTATATCCGATATAGGCCGACGGAGCAAATGCCGCGAAGCGCCTCTTCAGACCGGCACAGCAGACGTGTGGGTGGCGAGGCTGCCTACCATCTCTGTCTCCCCCAATGCCGTTGGCACAGCGCGTAGAGTACTCGTTTAGGGCTGAGTCTATCGACAGTGCAGATGTCACGCGACTGGGCGTTCGCCATGACCTGGAATAATATTCAGGTGTCTGGATTTAGAGCGCCCAACTCTGCTTCTACTCCCATGTAAACAAAGACCCCTCCCTCCCCCCCGTGTAGCCTTTAACTTTTTAAAGTGTGTGTGACGCTAAAGCCGATAGAAAGCCCTGGCAAAGCATTTCGATGGGGGGGCTGCGAGTCTCGAGCGGTGTCTATTAGTCCAAGAGCCGAGTGCAACGTGGCAAGACAAAGATCCCCCGTATAGCCCTACCAGACTGTTGGGGCAAGTGTCGTTAGTGAGCACCTACGAAGGCCGGCACGGCACACGAACGGGTGGGATTGGGTGACACCACGCCCGGCCGCCTTTGTCTCCCCGGTGCTGAGGTTTAAACACTGCATCAGATACAAATGTAAGGCTGACTCGACCTTGGGGAGGCCCAGGACGGGTTCATTTATTCGACGTTAGCCGTGAGCGGGAATAGAACTCGGGTGGGCAGGGTTGTGGGGCAGAACGCTCACCATTCACTGCGCCACGACTCCGCACGCGAACAGACACACGAGCAACGGCTCGCCACTAAGTGGCAGTGGATGTTCGCGTGCCACTCTGGTGCCAGGCTAGGTGCACACCGTGGGAGCCAGGTGCGGGCGTGGCTTGTGTGGGGTGTGTGTGCGCGTGTGTGTGCGCGTCGTAACGTGTCTGGAGGGCTTTGATGTTTTTCTGCTGTGGAGTTCAATGAGATGCGCCGAGACGCCAATCAATGACCCCGAGTCCGTGACTTTCATTTTGAGGATGCAGATTAAAGAATGCGGGTTGGGTGGTGTGTCACTGGGTGTGTGCCACTCGGTGTGTATGTCACTAGGTGTGTGTGTCACTAGGTGTGTGTGTCATTACGGGAAAGAACGGTGATCCAGTCTCCGACCCCCAGGAACAGGTTTGCAGATTTGCTGAGCGTTTCTGTGAGGTCCTGGGGGAGGGGAAATCCCTCAGCCTGGAAAAACAACGTGGGACAAAGTGGGGATGACTCTGCTGAAGCTGCGGTGCCTCGAATATTGGAGGAGGAAGTCACCCGCTGTGAGTGGCTGGCTGAGGTGCCATCTGTTGAGGAAATAGAGGGCGATCCAGAGTCTGAGACCAGGAAAGGCACCGGGCAGAGATGATCTTTCAAGCGAAATGCTGAGGGAGGGTGGCGTTTGTGCACAGACTGCCCTACATGACATCATAACAACAGTCTGGACCGCTGGACGGGTTCCGCAGGATTGGAAGAATGCCCTGGTGGTCCCTCTCTTTAAGAAGGGGGACCGTACAGACTGTAACAACTACAGGGGCATCTAACTCCTCAGTGTGCCGGGAAAGGTCCTGACAAGGATTATTCAACATCGCCTTGCCAGGCATGCTGAAGAGAGGCTTGCGGAGCCCCAATGCGGTTTCAGAAAGGGGCGGTCGTGCACAGATACCATATTTTCTGTCCATCTGCTACAGCAGAGGTGTAGGGAATTCCAACAAGATCTACATCTTTGCTTTATTGACCTGGTCAAGGCCTATGATACCATCAGTAGGCCTGGGCTCTGGGTTGTTCTTCGTGCTTTCGGAGTCCCTGACCCTCTGCTCACGATCATTAAGGACCTTCATGATGGTGAGCGGGCCCGGGTAAAACTACGTGGCCGGGAGCCAGAGCCATTCCCTGTACACCTTGGGGTGCGACAGGAATGTTCTCTGGCTCCCAAATTATTTAACATCTATTTTGACCACGTTCGTGAAGCCTTCAATAGCTGTACCGTAGGAATTTCCATTTGGTACAGATACAATGGGAGGCTGATCGATGCCCGGGTGCGGTCAAGGGATGGCTCCCTATTGCTCAACCACGTTATGTATGCCGATGATTTGGTAATAGCTGCTCATTCAGAGGAGGAGTTGGAGACGCTGCTGCTGAGACTGGAGCTTGCCACTAAGAGGTGGGGCCTTACCATCAGCCCCAGCAAAACTAAGCACCTGCCTGGGTATTTGTACCATCGGACACTCCACCACCACAACTTCAAATTGGTGATAGGGCAGTTGTGGATAGAAGGGAGAGTTTCCCATACCTTAGCAGTGTGCTCATGGCTGGCTCCGGTTTAACAGCAGAGGTCTCACACCGAATCAGTCGAGCGGCTTCATCTTTTCATCGGTTACGTAATGCGGTGTGCAAGCTACCTGGTCTATCACTCCGCACGAAACTTCAGGTCTTCTTGGCCACGGTCATTCCCTCCCTTCTCTACGCTTGCGAAACGTGGACCCCCCTAATTGAACATCTTCGCCGATTAGAAACATTTAGGCTGCCCTGCCTACGATCCATCCTGGGTTTAACCAGGCTGGATTGTGTGAGGAGCTCACAAATCCTTGAAAGATGTGGACACAGTCCCATCGGTGAGCTCCTCCGGCGGGCAAGGCTGCGCTGGCTGGGTCATGTAGCCCGCATGCCCAGCCACCGCATGCCGAAACAGCTTTTGTTCGGCCGGATCGAGGGGGATAAACGGGCGCGGCACGGGCTAGAGAAGAGATGGAGTGATGTGGAGCTGAGTGGACTTGCCGATGACTGGTACCAGCGGTGTCAAGACCGGCCTCTGTGGAGGAGGCTCGTGAAGGACTCTACTGGGCAGTTGGAGGCAGTCGCAATCCAAAAACAACGGAGGGCGGAGGAGCGACGCTCACAACAACGAGCGGAGCGCCGGGTGGCTAAAGCACAGCAAGTTGGCACAGTAGGGGGAACAGGTGGTGCATCAACCAGTCATCTCAGTCATCTCAGTCAGTCGACCCGTGGCACCTGGGTCTGCCCCGTGACCTCCTGCCAGCGGGCGTTCGACACTTCACGTGGCCTCAAGGTGCACATGGCCTGGCACAAGCATCGTGGTGACGTCACCGCCACTTAGTGGCGAATGGCGGTTGTTGTTGTTGTGTGTGACACTGGGAGTGTGACACTAGGTGTGTGTGTGTGCCACACTGAGTGGTGTGCGTGTTACTGGGAGTGTGTGACACTGCCGGTGACTGGTACCAGCGGTGTCAAGATCGGCCTCTGTGGAGGAGGCAGTCGCCCTTCCAACAACGAGCGGAGCACAGGTGGTGTACATGTCGGTAAACTGGTCATCCCACGACACCTGGGTGTGGTCAGTGACCCCGGTGACTTCACGCGGCTTTCACACGAGCAGTGGCGACGCCGCAGACCCCCACCGACTCATTCGCTCTTCAGCTGACCCCGCACGCAGCGAAGACATCGAGATCACCGCTCCCCCGTGTGGCCCAAGTGACAGGCGCTCTTCGCCGGGGGTACGCGGACCCCTGGGGGTACTACGTGGTACTACGTGGTAATGTCCAAGGGGAGTGTACGTGAGGTTATTTATGAATGTGCGAAATTATATTATTACTATTGGTCAATAATGACGTATGAATCTGCCAATGTACTACCATAATGAGCCAAGAATGTCTGTGTGTCCCGCGCGTGACGTCAATCCACATGGACCCCCCCCACTAATAATAATTGTAAGGTGACGTAAATCCACATGGACCCCCCCCCCATTAATCATAATTAGCGGGTGACGTCACTCCACATGGGGGGGGCGAGGCGCCTCCCCCCCCCCTCCTCGGCGTCAACTTACAACCCTCACGACAAAGGCAGAACCCTCACGTCACGTGATCTCCGTAACGCTGTTGTTGAGACATCAGAGTAAAAAGGACGTCATGATGAACAAGGGATTATAACCTTTACATGAAATAAGTCTGTGTCACCGCGCGCTGACAAATTGCACACGAATTGATGCAATGAATATATGACGTCGCAGTCTGATTTTCGCTTGCAAGTTTCAGATTTACCGCAATACACCTGTCCTTGGACTGGCAAAAGGTTAGTATAATACAACTACGATACAATTTAAATCCGTATGGTACCGTAGAACGATATAGAAGACCTTCATAAACTCACTGATGGGTACACAATGCGGGTTGCCAGGAGCAACCAGCGAGCGCCAACAATGACGTCACGCGTGCAGAGTATCCGATCACATTTTTATTGTATTCGCTTGCACTTAGCTAGCTAAGCGAGGATACCTCACGAAATGGACAATTGGTTATAAACAGGGGCGGAGCCAGGGGGGTGATAGGGTAGACAATTGTCACCCCCGAAAAAAAATAAAAAATCGAAAATCTGAAACATTCTGCGTATAAGTGCACGACACTCGGTCTGGCGGACTCCATGCAACTGCATTGTCAGAGTGTGTCGCCAACCGATGGCGTCTGGTTCAACAGCCTGACTCTCTAGTCATTCTTGAAATTTAAATTTGTTGAATGTCACCCCGGGCTGAAAATCCTGGCTCCGCCCCTGGTTAAAAATATATTTAGATCGGTGTTCGTTATTCCTAACATTCATTTCTTAGACGACCATGTTGGGTCAGTCAAATTGGGAAGGTCGTTAGTTCAACTCCATGATCCCACCGTGGGCCCTATTAGCCCAGAGGCCCTCCTCATACACTCTGGGCCGTTCCATGTTGTTCGAATGACGATGGCATCATTCGTGACTTAGCCGCAGGTAAAGCGAGGAGAAAGCTAAATATGTGTTTGTAGAAACGAGTGGAGTGATTTGTGTTTGTTAAATTTACCTTGAGCCGAATAAATGTTAATTTAACATGTTTTTTTTTTTACAAAATGTAATACTTAAGCCGCTCAAAACAAAACCGGCCCTGATTCCACTAGCGGGGGGTGGGGGGGTCGATAAAACATGTACCACTCAGTGGAAAAGCCAACAGCGGCTGGCCTATTGATGCAGACTAGTCCCCACCATAGGATCGTGGAACTTCCCCCACCTGCTCAGCGGTTTGTAAACAGGAGCCAGGAGACGTCTCGGTCGCGAGCGACGCACGCACGGAGCCACGCGGGGAGGCAGCGAGAGGAGAGGCGACTCGCTCCGGAGATGCTGGCGACATTTATTGAATAAAAATGCGTGGAGTGAGCAGCGGCTTTCCTATCGGCGCCGGGGCTTACAGGGATTCCCTCCCCACCCACCACCCACCGTCGCGGCTGTGACGCACGAGACAGGAATATATATGATCATCATTATTATTATAATTATCATCATTATGTTATACACAATATGTACAGTTATACAGCGAGAGCCAACAGCAGCAGCAGCAGCATGCCCTGTGAGCGTCGATAGCCACGTGTATGCATAAATAGCAGGTGACGCGCGGACACACACACACACACAAAGACAAAGATCCCCCGTGTAGCCTTTAATAGAGTGGAGGGGCAAGTGCTGTTAATGAGAACCTACAAAGGCCGGAACGGTACACGAGGGGGTGGGTGGCCAGCACCACGCCCGACCGCCTTTGTCTCCCCAGTAGAGATGCTTACACACCGCATCGGATACTCATTTAAGGCTGAGTCGACCTAGGGGAGGCCCAGGACCAGTAATCGTCACCGGTGTTGTAGTCGTGAGCGGGAATCGAAATCGGGTCGCCTGGTTCGTAGCGCGGCGTAGCGCTAACCGCTACGCCACCACTCCCCACGTACGCACACGCACACACGAACCACTGCAAAACACGGTCACGGGAACGAACGGAACGGACTGACGGGACGGAACGCGTGAGCGGTCGGAATCGCGAGCAGCTCCCGCACCCCGCGGGGTTGTGGACGGCTCGCACGGCGAAGGCGGCGACGGAGCGCCGCCAGCGCTCGCTAACAGTCGGGGGGTCGCTTCTCGACAAACTCCGGAGGGCCGCGCGCTGCCACGGACCTCGTGGCAGCCGACGGAAATCCCCCCGCTGGGCCAGACGCACACGGGACGCCCGGCCCTATCGGGACCACGCCACCCCGACCGCCGCCAGTCACCGCCGTCGCCCTGCCACGACAATGCCCCCGCCCCTTCCCCCCGCTCCATGTAGTACCCCCTCCACCCCCACCCCGCCCTGCCATGTCTCTCTTGCGTGGTGTGACACGGGAGGCGAGGGGGGGGGCTGCCGGTGAGGGGGGGCGGGTCGCGGTCGGCCGGGTTTCTCACTGCTCCGGCTGGGGCTCCTGCAGGAATCACAGCGCGGGGAAGAGGAGAGAGGAGGAGGAATGATGCACACGGCGTGGAAGTGTCGCTCGTCGCTCGCCGCTCGCCGGCAGCACGTCCACCCATAGCGGCTCCGCTCCGCTCCGGCACGGCGAGGTGACATCACGCGGAGCCGTGGAATAACCCGAGCGAGAGCGAAGGGTCCTAAGCAGGTCAGGAGCCCCCCCCCCCCCCCCCCCCCCCCCCCCCCCCCCCCCCCCGGTTTGCACGAAGAGAGATAAGGCGCATCGAATATCAACTTTGAAAATTCGATTCCCGATGAACACAAACCTAACGAAAGTAATATATTTTGATTTAAAGCTTTCGTGACTGCCGAGATTTATATTCTTGGTTCTTTCGGTAAAGTCACGTAGAAGGGAAACAATAAAATAATAAAAATATAAAACAATAAAATTATCACGACGTTTCGACTGCAACACAAGCAATCATCATCAGGTGTGAAAACCACAGCAAGAAAATTTGAAAAAAGTGGCGGTTTTTTTAACGTTAGCACCACGGAGAGCGATTTGGCAGTTATTCAGATGGACGAGTCCATCTATGTTCGGAAAAGAGGAGGGGGCAGACGAAAATAATGGATGCGGTAAGACCCGAAATGGTTTATCAAATCTTTCCAATGATTGCTAAGCGAGAATCCATCTTCTCGGTTGAAATTGTCTCTGTGTTTGTATATGTGGATAGCCTCATTAACGAATCTCTCATGGTAGCCAGATGGCTTGCAGAGAACCTCTGTCTTGGAGAAGTCAATGTCATGTGAGCCTACTGAATTAGAACAATGATCTGCCACGGCCGAGGTGTTGGTCCTACCGTGTTTAAGGTCTGCTTTGTGTTTAGTTTAACATCTCTGTCTCTCTTATCTCACAGTTTAGACAATTGACGGGGGGTTGTGGGGGAGCGGAGTGGTCGGGGGCCCCCCATGCGGCCAGCGTGGCCCCGTGCGACAGGTACCTCCGGGGACGTGGTGCCAGGCGCGGTGCACCCCGGCGGCTGCGGGGCCCGGCTCGTGCCCGCGTCCCCCCTCCCCGCCTCCGGGTTATTGAGCAGAGAGTGCACGGAAGCTGCGCACGTCGCACAACGAGACGCAGACGGAGATCCCCCGTGTAGCCTACGCGGGCCGTTGGGACAAGCGCCGTTAGCGAGTGGCACCGATAAAGGCCGGTAGGGAACACGAGGGGGTGGTGTGGCCAGCGTCACGCCAGCCCTGCCGCCTTTGTCTCCCCAGCAGCGCCGATGTTTACACTCCACTTCATGAACACATTTGAAACCGACTCGATCTAGGGAAGGCCCATGACCAGTTCAGATATTCGTCACGGGTGTTTGAATGCAAGCGGGAATCGAACTCGGGTCACCGGCTTCATCATCAGCTGACCCACGCGTCTGGCACACACACGAGCGTGCGGGGAGTGAACCTGCGTGCCGGAACGGTCCGGAACGCAGGTTCCAGGAATTACTTGGAAACACCATATCCATGTTGCCTTGGTTTGTCCTCGTGATGCTGTGGTGGTAGTGGTGGTGTGTGTCTGCGGTAGTTCGTGTGTGCGCGGAGGTGTTGTTTGCTGTGTGTATGGTAATGTGTGTGGTGGTGATGGTGTGTGTGTGGTGGTGTGTGATGGTGTGTGTCGGGATGTGTTTGGTAGTGTGTCAGGTAGTGTGCAAGTTGGCACACTAGGGGGCACTAGGTGGTGCATCGGCCAGTCATCTCAGTCAACTCATGGCACCTGGGTCTGTCCCGTGACCTTCTGCCTGGGGGAGTTCGACACTTCACGTGGCCTTAACGTGCACATAGCCTGGCACAAGCGTCGTGGAGACGTCACCGCCTCTTAGTGGCGAATGGCGGTTGTTGTTTTGTGGTGGTGGTATGTGGTGGTGTGGGGTGGTGGTGTGTGCGGTGGTTGTGCGTAGTGGGGTGTGTCTGGTGGTGTGGGGTGGTGGTGTGTGCGGTGGTGTGTGTAGTGGGGTGTATCTGGTGGTGTATGCGGGGGTCTGCTAACCATTTCATCACTGCAACAGCAGCTGCCTCTGTTGTCTCAATCCACAACCTCGACAAGCGACGTCTGCTGCTGCTGCTGGAGAGGCCCACGTCTACGTGCGCGACAAACCGGGCTGTTGTGTGTTACCGCTTTTTCCCAAGCGGTTGCCGGTTTACGGAAACGGACCGACTCCAACGCCGCCGCTCTGCGCGTGCGTGCGTGCGTGCACCGCCACTGGCACCTGCGGACGAGGTGTAGCTCAGCACGCTGGACAGGCTTCCCGTGTCCGAGAGCCACGTGCTGTAGGTGAAGGAGTCGCGCGTGCGCGGGGTCCCGGCGGACGACTGGCTCTCCTGCTCGCACGCAACGACAAAGGCGGATGGGGGTGCCCCCGCCCGGACAGTCTTTCAGCAGGCAGCACGGAGCTACGGTGCGAGAGCCGTTGGCGAGCAGCGCCTATCAAGGCCGGCACGACGAACGCACCGAGGGGCGGCCGGCGCCGCCTTTGTCTCCGCGGTGGCGATGTTTGCACTTCGCAGGAGGGACTCATTATGAGACCTCCTTTGCCAGAAACAAGATATAGGAATAGGTTTTACCCTTTTAACTGGCACAAAAACTGACACCTTTATTCAAGGCATCATGTTTGCAATAACCACAACACAAGCAGTCAAAATGCAAACAAAAAAGAAGACAACTCTGATAATAATATGCACTGTCCTTGAATTTGATTGGTCCACACCCGAGACGGCTTTCTTTAGAGCCTAGTCTCCATTGGTGTGGACCAATCAAATTCAAGGACAGTGCATATTATTATCAGAGTTGTCTTTTGTTTGCATTTTGACTGCTTGTGTTATGGTTATTGCAAACATGATGCCTTGAATAAAGGTGTCAGTTTTTGTGCCAGTTAAAAGGGTAAAACCTATTCCTATAGGAGGGACTCATTTAAGGCTGAATCGACCTAGGGTAGGCCCAGGGACCGGTTCATAAAATCGTCACCACCATACAAAGGCGACAACCGCCGTTCGCCACTAAGTGATGGTGGCGTCACCGAGTGGCAGAGTGCGGGTGAGTGGTGGGTGAGAGTGGGTGAGTGGTAGGTGAGTGATGAGAGAGAGTGGGTGAGTGGTAGGTGAGTGATGAGAGAGAGTGGGTGAGTGGTAGGTGAGTGATGAGAGAGAGTGGGTGAGTGGTAGGTGAGTGATGAGAGAGAGTGGGTGAGTGATGGGTGAGTGGCAGGTGAGTGGTGGGAGAGAGTGGGTGAGTGGTGGGTGAGTGGTGGGTGAGTGATGAGAGAGAGTGGGTGAGTGGCAGGTGAGTGATGAGAGAGAGTGGGTGAGTGATGGGTGAGTGGCAGGTGAGTGATGAGAGAGAGTGGGTGAGTGATGGGTGAGTGGTGGGTGAGTGATGAGAGAGAGTGGGTGAGTGATGGGTGAGTGGTGGGTGAGTGGTGGGAGAGAGTGGGTGAGTGGTAGGTGAATGATGAGAGAGAGTGGGTGAGTGATGGGTGAGTGGCAGGTGAGTGATGAGAGAGAGTGGGTGAGTGATGGGTGAGTGGTGGGTGAGTGGTGGGAGAGAGTGGGTGAGTGGTAGGTGAGTGATGAGAGAGAGTGGGTGAGTGATGGGTGAGTGGCAGGTGAGTGATGAGAGAGAGTGGGTGAGTGATGGGTGAGTGTGCGGTGAGTGCAGGGGGTGAGTGATGGGTGAGTGTGCGGTGAGTGCAGGGGGTGAGTGATGGGTGAGTGTGCGGTGAGTGCAGGGGGTGAGTGATGGGTGTGTGTGTGCGGTGAGTGCAGGGGGTGAGTGATGGGTGAGTGTGCGGTGAGTGCAGGGGGTGAGTGATGGGTGAGTGTGCGGTGAGTGCAGGGGGTGAGTGATGGTTGTGAGTGTGCGGTGAGTGCAGGGGGTGAGTGATGGTTGTGAGTGTGCGGTGAGTGCAGGGGGTGAGTGATGGTTGTGAGTGTGCGGTGAGTGCAGGGGGTGAGTGATGGGTGAGTGATGAGAGAGAGTGGGTGAGTGATGGGTGAGTGTGCGGTGAGTGCAGGGGGTGAGTGATGGTTGTGAGTGTGCGGTGAGTGCAGGGGGTGAGTGCTGGGTGAGTGTGCGGTGAGTGCAGGGGGTGAGTGATGGGTGAGTGTGCGGTGAGTGCAGGGGGTGAGTGATGGTTGTGAGTGTGCGGTGAGTGCAGGGGGTGAGTGATGGGTGTGAGTGTGCGGTGAGTGCAGGGGGTGAGTGATGGTTGTGAGTGTGCGGTGAGTGCAGGGTGTGAGTGATGGGTGTGTGTGTGCGGTGAGTGCAGGGTGTGAGTGATGGTTGTGAGTGTGCGGTGAGTGCAGGGGGTGAGTGATGGGTGAGTGTGCGGTGAGTGCAGGGGGTGAGTGATGGGTGAGTGTGCGGTGAGTGCAGGGGGTGAGTGATGGGTGAGTGTGGGGTGAGTGATGGGTGAGTGATGGGTGAGTGTGCGGTGAGTGCAGGGGGTGAGTGATGGGTGAGTGTGCGGTGAGTGATGGGTGAGTGTGCGGTGAGTGCAGGGGGTGAGTGATGGGTGAGTGTGCGGTGAGTGAAGGGGGTGAGTGATGGGTGAGTGTGCGGTGAGTGATGGGTGAGTGATGGGTGAGTGTGCGGTGAGTGCAGGGGGTGAGTGATGGGTGAGTGTGCGGTGAGTGATGGGTGAGTGTGCGGTGAGTGCAGGGGGTGAGTGATGGTTGTGAGTGTGCGGTGAGTGCAGGGTGTGAGTGATGGTTGTGAGTGTGCGGTGAGTGCAGGGGGTGAGTGATGGTTGTGAGTGTGCGGTGAGTGCAGGGGGTGAGTGATGGGTGAGTGATGAGAGAGAGTGGGTGAGTGATGGGTGAGTGTGCGGTGAGTGCAGGGGGTGAGTGATGGTTGTGAGTGTGCGGTGAGTGCAGGGGGTGAGTGATGGGTGAGTGTGCGGTGAGTGCAGGGGGTGAGTGATGGGTGAGTGTGCGGTGAGTGCAGGGGGTGAGTGATGGTTGTGAGTGTGCGGTGAGTGCAGGGGGTGAGTGATGGGTGTGAGTGTGCGGTGAGTGCAGGGGGTGAGTGATGGTTGTGAGTGTGCGGTGAGTGCAGGGTGTGAGTGATGGGTGTGTGTGTGCGGTGAGTGCAGGGTGTGAGTGATGGTTGTGAGTGTGCGGTGAGTGCAGGGGGTGAGTGATGGGTGAGTGTGCGGTGAGTGCAGGGGGTGAGTGATGGGTGAGTGTGCGGTGAGTGCAGGGGGTGAGTGATGGGTGAGTGTGCGGTGAGTGATGGGTGAGTGATGGGTGAGTGTGCGGTGAGTGCAGGGGGTGAGTGATGGGTGAGTGTGCGGTGAGTGATGGGTGAGTGTGCGGTGAGTGCAGGGGGTGAGTGATGGGTGAGTGTGCGGTGAGTGCAGGGGGTGAGTGATGGGTGAGTGTGCGGTGAGTGATGGGTGAGTGATGGGTGAGTGTGCGGTGAGTGCAGGGGGTGAGTGATGGGTGAGTGTGCGGTGAGTGATGGGTGAGTGTGCGGTGAGTGCAGGGGGTGAGTGATGGGTGAGTGTGCGGTGAGTGCAGGGGGTGAGTGATGGGTGAGTGTGCGGTGAGTGATGGGTGAGTGTGCGGTGAGTGTGCGGTGAGTGCAGGGGGTGAGTGATGGGTGAGTGTGCGGTGAGTGATGGGTGAGTGTGCGGTGAGTGCAGGGGGTGAGTGATGCTTGGCTGCGTAGGCTCACCATGCCCGTGTCATACTCCTGATCGCCGCCCGCGCTGCTGAAGCTGCTCCCGTTGGATGAGGAGCGCGACAGCGGCAGCACCGAGTCCACGGCAGCGCCCGCACGGCCCGGCCTGCGTGCAAAGACAAAGACGCCGATCCCCCGTATAGCCTTAGCAGACTGCTGGGGCATGAGCCTACGGAGGCTGGAATGGCACACGAGGGGGTGGGTGGCCAGCACCACGCCCAGCCGCCTTTGTCTCCCCAGTGGCGATGTTTTCACATCACGCCAGGTACTCATTTGAGGCTGAGTCGACCTAGGCGAGGAGGCCCAGGACCGGTTCAGATAATCGTCACTAGTGTTGGCAGTGTGACGCACACACACATCAACAACAACCGCCATTCGCCGCTAAGTAGTGGTGACGTCACCACAGCGCCTGTGCCAGGCTATGTGCACGTTAAGGTCACATCCACGTCCACACACAAACAAGGGCGACGCCCATCAGCCAGGTTTAGGTTTAGGCCAATGCCTGCGATTACACAGGGATCTCGAGGGTAGTGAGTTGATGCTGTCAGCTTGGTCACCAGTGAGACCCACTCACTGGTGAGCCATAGATCCACCACGCCCGGGCGCCTTTGACTTCCCATATCTACTGGTTTACACGCTGCACAAGGTACACATTTATAGGCTGAGCCGACCTAGAGGAGGCCCAGGTCCGGTTCTGATATCATTCACCGTTGCCGATTGCCGTTTTGGTCAAGGAATGGAACTCTGGGATAACGTCGCTGGTATCACGTCGCTGGGCGGAACGTTCAAAGAGTAATCGGTTCACAGTCACACCTCTTGGTGGTCACGGTACCTGGACGGGTGCGGCAGTATGTCGGGAGAGCTCTGATTGGAGGACATGTGGTCGTGTGACACGTGGCCACTGTCTGGGGTCGTTAGCGGTCCCGAGCCCTCCCTGTGAATAGAATAAATTAAATACAAAGCGTTACTGCTGTAACTTTTAAACACCACAAATGATCCAAGAAAGTTGCGGACTAACATCATCCCTCCCTTCTTCATGGGATAGAGCGTTGCCCCCTCGCGCAAGGCGTGGATTTTCTCCGGGCGGTCCGGTTCCCTCCCATGCATATACACACACACTCATGAATTGGCTGAAAACATCTTAATAAAAAGAAGGCCGCAGAGCTTGGGCAATTGTTAGTGGCACCGGCTCAAAGCCACATGTCTGCGATTCCTCAGCGATTGTGAACAACGCCGACGCCGCGGTATGAAACTAAACACAATCGTCGTTTTACTCTTTTCCTGATCTGTATGTGTGTACCCTCACCAGTGTAGCGGTTAGCGCCACGCTGCGCTACGAACCTGGTGACCCGAGTTAGATTCCTGCCCACGGCCAACACCGGTGACAATTATCTGAACCGGTCATGGGCTTCCCCTATGTCGAAGCAGCTTCAAATGAGTACCTGGTGCGGCGTGTAAACATCGCCACTGGGGAGACAAAGGCGGTCGGGCGTGGCGCTGGCCACCTACAACCTCGTGCGCCGTGCCGGCCTTCATAAGTGCTCGCCACCAACAGCACTTGCCCCAACAGTCTGTCAAGGCTATACAGGGGATCTTTGTCTTTGTACCCTCACCTGCTGTGCCTGTCCTCCGCGCTGCCCGGACTTGCCCTCTGGGCCGCTCCAGCTGCCGGCGCCTGGCCCTGCTTCGCCCTCCACACGGGGCTCCGTCCCACCAGCATCAGGGACTGGGGGGGGGGGGGTGGGGGGCAGGGGTGGGGGCACGGGGGATATGGCGGGGGGGGGCACCGGGGCCGTTGCATCGATCAAACCGGCTTCGACCGCGATGTACAGTCGGTGTTCCAGCGCAGGCCCGCGTGGCCTACTTTTCAGGCCCGCGTGGCCTACTTTTCAGGCCCGCGTGGCCTACTTTTCAGGCCCGCGTGGCCTACTTTTCAGGCCCGCGTGGACTACTTTCAGGCCCGCGTGGACTAATTTTCAGGCCCGTGTGGCCTACTTTTCAGGCCCGCGTGGCCTACTTTTCAGGCCCGCGTGGACTACTTTCAGGCCCGCGTGGACTAATTTTCAGGCCCGCGTGGACTACTTTTCAGGCCCGCGTGCCCTTCTTTTTAGTCCCGCGTGCCCTTCTTTTCAGGCCCGCGTGGACTAATTTTCAGGCCCGCGTGCCCTTCTTTTCAGGCCCGTGTGCCCTTCTTTTCAGGCCCACGTGGCCTACTTTTCAGGCCCGCATGGACTACTTTCAGGCCCACGTGCCCTTCTTTTTAGTCCCGCGTCCCCTTCTTTTCAGGCCCGCGTGGACTAATTTTCAGGCCCGCGTGCCCTTCTTTTCAGGCCCATGTGCCCTTCTTTTCAGGCCCACGTGGCCTACTTTTCAGGCCCGCGTGGACTACTTTCAGGCCCGCGTGCCCTTCTTTTCAGGCTCGCGTGGACTACTTTCAGGCCCGCATGGTCTACTTTCACGGCGAGCAAAAGCCGAACTCGAGAAGTGGAAATTTGGTGGCCCGGGTAGCTTATTAAGCGGCAGGGTTCTTTGCTGGGCACCGCGCGTTAGAATCCGGGTTCCAGCCGCCCGTGGTGAAACCGAGTGTGCAAGTTTAGCGAGCCGGTGGTGTCGGCCTGGTCTCCCAACGGACGGGGGCAACGCGACCACGAGAGGGAGCTGACGGGGTCACGGACGGAGCCAGACCACCGTGGCTCGTCTCTCTCGCAAGCAGCTGCCCAAAGGCGACTGTCGCCGGCCAGACAGGGCGGAGATCTAAGCTGTGTGTGTGTGTGTTGTGTGTACTTTGAACTTCTTTGCACCGTACGTAGCCAACCGTGCTAATCGTAGGTGCCTGGGTATGAGATAGTCAACTCCACAGCGAGTTGAGTGGGCAACTGCCCCGCTCGTCCGTGGTCTCGGTCACGGGCCAGGAGTGGTTACTTGGAGAAGGGCATTGTGGGTGGTCAGTGGTGGGGGTTTGGGGGGCAGGGGCGCTCACGAATGCGGCTGGGGGTCGAGCAGCCTCGGCCAGCGTTGGCGGAGGGCCCAGCCCCCCGCTGTGGCTGCACGGCACGGCCTGCTTCTGCCGCCCCCCCACGAGCACGGTCTCCATGGACTGGCTGCGTCCGCGGATGGCTTTCTGTGCCGGGGTGCGAGGCAGTGACGGACACACGCGCACACGTCATACATCGTCACACACACGTCATACATCGTCACACACACGCGCACACGTCATACATCGTCACACACACGTCATACATCGTCACACACACGTGCATACGTCATACATCGTCACACACACACGTCATACATCGTCACACACACACACACGTCATACATCGTCACACACACACGTGCACACGTCATACATCGTCACACACACGTGCACACGTCATACATCGTCACACACACGTGCACACGTCATACATCGTCACACACACACACGTCATACATCGTCACACACACGTGCACACGTCATACATCGTCACACACACACGTGCACACGTCATACATCGTCACACACACGTGCACACGTCATACATCGTCACACACACACACGTCATACATCGTCACACACACACACGTCATACATCGTCACACACACGTGCACACGTCATACATCGTCACACACACACGTGCACACGTCATACATCGTCACACACACACGTGCACACGTCATACATCGTCACACACACGTCATACATCGTCACACACACGTGCACACGTCATACATCGTCACACACACACACACGTCATACATCGTCACACACACACACACACGCATGTCATACGTACACAAGTGCAATACACAAACTAAAATCTCACGCTGTGACCCAAAACACATGCACACACACACACACGCACATCGCATCCTTTGAGACAGAACCACAAAGTCATGCAGATCCCCCCTGTAGCCTGAGCAGGTTTTTGGGGCAAGTGCCGTTAGCGAGTAGCTGCTATGAAGGCAGGCGCGGCACACCAGGGGGTGGGTGGCCAGCACCACGCCCGGCCGCCTTTGTCTCCCCAGTGGTGATATTTACTACACATTGTACCAGGTACTCATTTGAGGCTGAGTCGACCTAGGGGAGGCCCGGGACCGGTTCAGACAATCGTCACTCGTTGTTGATCGTGAGCGGAAATCGAATTCGGTTCGCTGGGTTCGTAGCACAGCGCGCAAAACCGCTCCGCTGCCATTCCCCCAAACTGACAGAAACGCGCACAGACACACAGACACACACACGCACGCACTGGCACCCTCGCACATACACACACACAGACACATACACGCGCACAGACACACAGACACAGACACACACACAGACACACACACACAGACACACACACACGCACACAGACACACAGACACACACACGCACGCACTGGCACCCTTGCACACATCAGCCGGGCCAGACGCCAGCGCCCTCCTGCAGGGAGGACACCCACCTTGAACGTCTCCAGGATTCCTCCTCCTCCGCCTCCTCCCCCGCCGCCACTCGTGCCGCCCCCTCCCTCTGACCTGTCGCCCTCCGGCCAGCCTCCCAGCATGCACTGGGAGCGTGCGTGCAGCTCCTCGTAGAGGGTGTCCAGCAGCGCCGCCCGGGTTCGCTCCTAGCGCCGCCACGCGAAGACCGAACAGCGGTCACTCCGACCGCTGTCTTACAGAGAGACCCTTCGCCAATAACACCTGGCAGTTCGCCAGCATTGGTGAAAGCGGCCACGAGTGGTAACTACAGGTGTGGAGGCAGTACAGGGGACTGGTGACCACGTGTGGTAACTACAGTTGTGGAGACAGTACAGGGGACTGGTGACCACGTGTGGTAACTACAGATGTGGAGACAGTACAGGGGACTGGTGACCACGTGTGGTAACTACAGATGTAGAGATACTATAGGGGAATGGTGACCACGAGTGGTAACTACAGTTGTGGAGACAGTACAGGGGACTGGTGACCACGTGTGGTAACTACAGTTGTGGAGACAGTACAGGGGACTGGTGACCACGAGTGGTAACTACAGGTGTGGAGACAGTACAGGGGACTGGTGGCCACGAGTGGTAACTACAGTTGTGGAGACAGTACAGGGGACTGGTGACCACGTGTGGTAACTACAGATGTGGAGACAGTACAGGGGACTGGTGACCACGTGTGGTAACTACAGATGTAGAGATACTATAGGGGAATGGTGACCACGATTGGTAACTACAGTTGTGGAGACAGTACAGGGGACTGGTGACCACGTGTGGTAACTACAGTTGTGGAGACAGTACAGGGGACTGGTGACCACGAGTGGTAACTACAGTTGTAGAGACAGTACAGGGGACTGGTGACCACGTGTGGTAACTACAGGTGTGGAGACAGTACAGGGGACTGGTGGCCACGAGTGGTAACTACAGTTGTAGAGACAGTACAGGGGACTGGTGACCACGTGTGGTAACTACACGTGTGGAGACAGTACAGGGGACTGGTGGCCACGAGTGGTAACTACAGTTGTGGAGACAGTACAGGGGACTGGTGACCACGTGTGGTAACTACAGTTGTGAAGACAGTACAGGGGACTGGTGACCACGAGTGGTAACTACACGTGTGGAGACAGTACAGGGGACTGGTGGCCTTGAGTGGTAACTACAGGTGTGGAGACAGTACAGGGGACTGGTGACCACGTGTGGTAACTACAGTTGTGGAGACAGTACAGGGGACTGGTGACCACGAGTGGTAACTACAGTTGTGGAGACAGTACAGGGGACTGGTGACCACGTGTGGTAACTACAGTTGTAGAGACAGTACAAGGGACTGGTGACCACGTGTGGTAACTACAGTTGTGGGGGCAGTACAGGGGACTGGTGACCACGTGTGGTAACTACAGTTATAGAGACAGTACAGGGGACTGGTGACCACGAGTGGTAACTACAGTTGTGGAGACAGTACAGGGGACTGGTGACCACGAGTGGTAACTACAGTTGTGGAGACAGTACATGGGACTGGTGACCACGTGTGGTAACTACAGTTGTGGAGACAGTACAGGGGACTAGTGACCACGAGTGGTAACTACAGTTGTGGAGACAGTACATGGGACTGGTGACCACGTGTGGTAACTACAGTTGTGGAGACAGTACAGGGGACTGGTGACCACGAGTGGTAACTACAGTTGTGGAGACAGTACAGGGGACTGGTGACCACGAGTGGTAACTACAGGTGTGGAGGCAGTACAGGGGACTGGTGACCACGAGTGGTAACTACAGGTGTGGAGACAGTACAGGGGACTGGTGACCACGAGTGGTAACTACAGTTGTGGAGACAGTACAGGGGACTGGTGACCACGAGTGGTAACTACAGTTGTGGAGACAGTACAGGGGACTGGTGACCACGAGTGGTAACAACAAAAGATAGTACACCACACGACTAGTGGTCACAAGTGGGAATAACCAGGCCAGGGAACAGGGGAACGACGATCTGGGATCTTCAGGGACCTGCGAGAGAGTTCGAGAAGAGGGACGTGGCCAGATGCAGAGGCATGGGCCACGCTGGGGGATAAAAGGCGGGGGGGGGGGGGCGAGAAGCGAGGTTCTTGGCTGCCGGAGGAGTTGCTGTAGTCGCTATATCGTCAGTCGTCGCTATGTCCTCAAGTCCTCACTGTCGTCACTATGAAGAGATCGTGTTCTGAATAAAGAAACCCTCACCAGTCAGAGTGTCTGAAGAGTCGTTACATATGTATGTATGTTGAACTTCTTTCGCAGCGTACGTAGCCAACCGTGTTAGGCGGAGGTGTGGGGAAAGGACAACAAACTAAACACGAAAATCAGTTCTTTTGAAATTAGTTTTCAATCTCGATTGTAAAGTGCACAGCTACAGTGACTTTCTAGTATCGCAAAGAAAGAGCATTCCAGACGGCCGCAGAAGCGCATCTGAAGGCGCGCGACACCGCGCGTCTTTGCTCGATGACTAGCCAAAAAGCTGCTGCTGCGAGGATGACCGGAGTTCATGTGACGGTGGTTTATGCGCTTTGATGAGATCAGCACGCCCAGAGCGAAGGCTGTGTTGCTGATGGGATGTGACGGCGAAGTCGGCTGGGCACCGCCACGCTCGCCTTCTCTCCTCGTCGCTCTCATTTCTGACGAGATTCAGCGAGGCGCTGACTTCCCGGGCAATAATTCCCACGGTTGAGAGAGATGCAATTTTAATTTACTGATAACATATATCTAGTGCAACGTTCACAGCTGTGCAGGATGAGTGTTACTCTCCTCGCGAATTACGCAGTCACTCCCGCGCCACGCTTATATAAGTCACCCGCTCACTCGGCCATCCGACCAATAGAACGTTAAAGCATCGATCAAGCGGCGCTCATCCCCAGGGGTGTAAATTCCTGACGGCGCGTGCGTGCGTGCGCCTGCCAGTTAATTAATTGGCGCGTTAATTAATAGGCGGGCCGCGGGCTTGCCTCGAGAGCGGAGAACTTGCGAGCCTTGTAGGAGGCATGCTCTGCATTGATGAGCTTCGTGAGCAAGAACTCACGCAGAGCCTCGCCCTGCGGACACACGGACACGTGAACACGCGGACACACGGACACGTGGACACGTGAACACGCGGACACACGGACACGCGAAGGCATGGGCACATGGAAACATGAACACGCGGACACACGGACACATAGACACGTGGACACACGGACAAGTGAACACACGGACACGCGGACACAACATGGGGGCATCGACGCTCAGCCACAACCTCCACGGGACTAAGAAAACCATTCCCAGCATTCACCACAAATTCACCTTCTTGAAGACGGGCGGATCCGGCAGGGGCGGCCCGAACATGGGCACGTCATTCCGGGCCGTCACGGCCACTTTATACCACGTGCTGCCATCGCCCTCCTCCTCCTCCTCCTCCTCCTCCTCCTCCCCCTCCTCCTCCTCGTCGTCCTCCTCATCCTTCCCATCTTTCTGCACCTCCGCTTTGTCGCTCGCCTCCCCGGACACATTTTCCTCCTTCCCATCCTCCTCCTTCCGATCTTCCTCCTCCCCATCCTCCGCTCCCTTGTCCGCGTCGCAGGGCGATGGCCTCGCTTCTATCACAGCGTCGCCTCCGGCGATGGGCCCGCTGGGGTCATGCGGCGAGGCCGGCAGGACCGGGGGGGCCAGGGGGCCCTGAGGGGCCGGGGTCGTCCCGGGAAAGGGGCAGCCGCAGTCGGTGGCGGAAAGCGAGGACCGCGAGCGCCGCGACGGCGGCCGGAACGGCTGCACCACGACATAGGCGTGCAGGAAGTTGGAGGCGATCATGTCGGGCACAAACGGCGTGCTCTCCTCCTGGAACACCAGCGCCACGATGTCGTTGCCGATGTGGCGCTTGCGCTGCAGCTGGGGAGAGGGGTGGGGGGTTGGGGGGTGAAAAAGGAACCGCGCGCGCAGGGAACTCGGCGGCGATCGGCGTGACGGCTCGCGTGGCCGGGGCGGCAGGGGTGGCGCGTTCGCCGGGGATCCAGGGCTTCACGCGTGTTCCCGTGCGCTGCTCCGTATTTCCCTGTGTCCCTCCACATCTCCGCGTGTCCCAACGTGTCCAGGCATGTCTCCCTCCCTCCCACTAGTTGTCCTCCGCATGTCCCCACATCGACTCACGTATCCCCACGTGTCCCCCGCGCGCCCCCACCTGCTGCGCGTCTCCCTCTGTGTAGGGCAGCTTGGTGGAGATGTGGAACATGACCTCGCGGTCCAGGAAGCGCGTGTACACGGACTCGGAGCCCGTCTGTCCGTGCGTCACGTCCAGACCCCCGCGGAACCTGGCGGGACCACAACCGCGAGGGCATAATCCAGGCCGTGAACAGAATCCCAGTGGGGTGAATGGAGACTCCAACATGGGAGTCGGCCATAGAGGAGGGATCACGGATTGCTTGAGGCATCTCCCACGTTGGAATCGTGGAATTCAAATACAATTCCTGCACAACCACTGCCACCACCACCGCCACCACCACCACCACCGCCATCATCATAACTACCACCACGACTAATACCGCCACCACCGACGCCACAGCCACCACCGCCAAAGCCACCGCCACCACCAGAATGAACACCACCACCTGTGACCCCTGACCCTTATCCAACCATGACCCCTGACACTCACCCTGAGAAGTTGTGCAGCTGCACGGGGTCTCCGAGCATGCCTAGGAACGCGTCGAGCGCCGCACTCTCCTGACGGTTCCCAAACACCTCCCCCTCCGTCTTCTGTCCATGGGGGGCGAGGAGGGAGGGTGCAAGAGACAGAGAGAGGGTGTGGGGGTGTGGGGGTGTGGGTGTGTGGAGGTGTGTGGGGGTGTGGGGTGTGGGTGTGTGGGGGTGTGGGGGGGTGTGGGGATGTGGGTGTGTGGGAGTGTGGGGGTGTGGGTGTGTGGGGGTGTGGGTGTGTGGGGGTGTGGGTGTGTGGGGGTGTGGGGGTGTGAATGTGTGGGGGTGTGGGTGTGTGGGGGTGTGGGGGTGTGGGTGTTCGTCCACAGATCTGGACACAGTCCCGTCGGCGAGCTCCTCTGGCAGGCGAGGCTGCGTTTGCTGGAGTCACGCAGACCGCATGCCCAGCCACCGCATGCCCAACCACCGCATTTCCAGCCACCGCATGCCCATTCACCGCATGCCCAACCACTGCATGCCCATTCACCGCATGCCCAACCACTGCATGCCCAGCCACCGCATACCCAGCCACCGCATGCCCAGCCACCGCATGCCCAGCCACCGCATGCCCAGCCACCGCATGCCCAGCCACCGCATGCCCAACCACCGCATGCCCAGCCACCGCATGCCCAGCCACCGCATGCCCAGCCACCGCATGCCCAGCCACCGCATGCCCAGCCACCGCATGCCCAGCCACCGCATGCCCAGCCACCGCATGCCCAAGCAGCTGCTGTGTGGCAGGACATGCTGGGTCATAATTTTGGCTAATGGCCTGATGAAGCTGGTTGTAATGAACAGCGTACTCAAATTGTAATTGTCGTGGTGGGTTTCTCTCCAACACACTGGCGTGCTGAAGCAGTAAACAACTCTTGACTTAAAGCTTTAATGACTGCAGGAATTCAAAGTTTTGGGGTCTTTCGGTAAAGTCACGTAGATAGGTTCAAAGAAAATAACAAAAAACTACGACATTTTGATCACAACACAAGCGATCGTCATCAGGAAGAAAAAATATGACGACCACTTGTGTTGTGATCGAAACGTCGTAGTTTTTTGTTATTTTCTTTGAACCTATCTACGTGACTTTACCGAAAGATCCAAAAAATAGTAAATAACTGGCATGTTTTGTTTACGTGACAAACCTTACTATTTGGCTGTCAGGTAGTGGCGGGTTTAACGACACATTTATATTTTCGCGATCTAACAAAAAAGCCCCTTTGTTATGGATAGAGGGTGCAAAACGGCTATGGCAGGGGCTGGAGAAGAGATGGAGCTGATGTGGTACAGAAGGATGTGGAGCTGATGTAGACCTTGCCGGAAGTGACTAGGCGTCAGATTGCTAAACCACCACAGCTAAGATCCTGGGTTCGAATCCCGGGTTGTCAAGACGAGGGAGCTTATAACAGTCTCAGCACAGTCACACTCACGACTGCACAAAGAACTACACCACTGGTAATTCGGCTTTTAGTCGTTAAATTGGCTGCGTTCCAGCTCTGAGAATCGGCGGAGCGGTTGGGAGGGTGCTGCCCCATCCTGCGTGAACCGGAGGTCACTTTAATGGAAACAGAACGTAGCTCCGTGACATCCGCTTCAGTGGGACCTTCTCTAAGCCAGGGGTCCCCAACCCCTGGGCCGGTACCGGTCCGTGGCCTGTTAGGAACCGGGCCGCACAGCAGGAGGTGAGAGCGGCGAGTCCGCGCGTGGCACGCCCCCATTATTTTATTATTTACCACTTCCGTCCGCGCCTCTTTCCCGCACTGCGCACTCGTCTCAGTCACAGTTTTGGTAAGCCAACAAGCTGACCCCTAGTAGCCACAATGAGTAAAAAACAAACGTCGCTGGAGAGCTTCTTTGAAAATTTGGAAAGACCCAATGATGAACCCCCCTCCCCCTCCCCGGTCCGTGAAAAAATTGTCTTCCACGAAACCGGTACCTGGTGCCAAGAAGGTTGGGGACCGCTGCTCTAACCCATGCCATCGCACTGCTCTGCGAGGGTCGCAGGTATGAAAGAGACTCAACATTTATCGGTTAATTTCAAGTGAAAGTCAGGTGCTCTCGTGAGAAGGTCGCCACGTCAGCGAGGCATTGCACAGTCAGGCAGTGACATCGCCGGAGTGCGGCAACGAGGAGCCCAAACTACTTCAACTTCTACAACGGGAGGCAATGCCTTTCAGTTGTCCGTCAGCCTCAAATAGTCTTGGGACTCTGTCTCTCTCTTCAGAGCTGCGCTGCATTTGGGTTTCGGGTCAATGCATTTTTAATGAGGATTGAGTGCAAATGTTGTTTTTGCAAAAGCAGCCCTTTGGGGGGAGCAGCTCGCGTGACGGGACGGTGAATGACGGTGAGTGACGGTGAGTGACGGTGATGGTGAGTGACGGTGTGGGACGGTGTGGGACTGTGAGTGACGGTGAGTGACGGTGACGGTGAGTGACGGTGAGTGACGGTGACGGTGAGTGACGGTGAGTGACGGTGAGTGACGGTGATGGTGAGTGACGGTGTGGGATGGTGTGGGACTGTGAGTGACGGTGAGTGACGGTGACGTTGAGTGACGGTGTGGGACGGTGTGGGGACAGCACAGGGAACGTGGGGTGGGTGTGCAGGCTCTCCGTGCCCCGTGAGTGTTTCCCGGGGTGACGTTTCTCCCCTGTTCAGCTGCCCCTCTCCAATTCTAGGGCTCAGTGGGCAGGGATTGGCGCCCACTTGAAGGTGGATCACGGAGGAGGAGGAGGAGGAGGGGGAGGAGGAGGAGGAGGGGAGAGAGGAACGCAAACGTCGGGACGCTGCCACCCCCCGCGATGCAACCGCCGGGGCCACGCGCTGGACTTGCAACCCGGAGGGCGCCAGTTCTATCTCCAGGCGCGGCAGGCGCAACCGGACCCAACAGTGCAACATGGGTTCAACCACTGCCAGTCGCTCGGCAGGTGACGCGCGTGGTGGGGGTGACGCGTGGCGGGGTGACACGTGGTGAGGGTGACACGTGGTGAGGGTGACACGTGGTGAGGGTGACACGTGGCGAGGGTGACGCGTGGCGAGGGTGACGCGTGGCGAGGGTGACACGTGGTGGGGGTGACGCGTGGTGAGGGTGACGCGTGGTGAGGGTGACGCGTGGTGAGGGTGACACGTGGCGAGGGTGACACGTGGTGAGGGTGACACGTGGCGAGGGTGACACGTGGTGAGGGTGACGCGTGGTGAGGGTGACGCGTGGTGAGGGTGACGCGTGGTGAGGGTGACGCGTGGTGAGGGTGACGCGTGGTGAGGGTGACACGTGGTGAGGGTGACACGTGGCGAGGGTGACACGTGGCGAGGGTGACACGTGGGTACTCCTGTCTCTTCCTCGACTTCTGGCCAACGTGAAAGGCCAAAAACACTCAGTGGAAAGGGCTCTCGCTCTCTCTCTCTCGCTCTCTCTACATCCTCTAGCGGAGCGTAGGCCCTTCCGCCAGTAGGGGGCGTGAGCCGGACATGCAGGGCTGCGCCTTCACCCAATTGCAAAATAAAAATAAATAATCTTGCAAGCGTCCGTGTTGGCGCTTGCAGCCGCGCGGCGTCTCCGTTGAGACCCCCCCCACCTCACGCCGCTCCCCCCTTCCCACCTCCTCCCCCCTCCCCTCCGGGCGTGTGTGTGTGTGTGTGCGCGTGTGTCTGTGCGGGTGTGTGTGTGTGCGCGTGTGTCTGTGCGGGTGTGTGTGTGTGCACGTGTGTGTGTGCCTGTGTGTGTGCGCGTGTGCACGTGCGTGCCTACACACGCCCCTACCTGCCCGAACGTTTGGTAGATGACGCCGAACTTGAACTGATTGCTGATGGAGTGCTCGTCGTAGGCCAGAATCAGCTGGGATGCCTGGGAGACAAAGACAAAGATACCCCGTGCAGCCAATTAACAAGACCGCTGGGGCAAGTGCCGTTAGCGAACACGATGACACCATCCCACGATACGCACCGTCATACACACGCGTGCGCGCACGCACCATACGTACACAAGTGCAATACACAAACTAACATCTCACGCTGTGACCCAAATACACATGCACACACACACACACATCGCATCTTTTGAGACAGAACCACAAAGTCATGAAGATCCCCCGTGTAGCCTGAGCAGGTTTTTGGGGCAAGTGCCGTAAGCGAGTAGCTGCTCTGAAGGCCGGCGCGCCGCACGAAGGGGGTCGGTGGCCAACGCCACGCCCGGCCGCCTTTGTCTCCCCAGTGGCGACGTTTTACACACCGCACCAGGTACCCATTTGAGGTCGCTCAGCTGTTACCTCAACGTGAAAATGAGGGCCTACAGCAATGTGAGAGGGCCCTCTGGGATAACCCGGCACTGCCATCAACGAGCATTTTGGCTTCGTGTAGGAGAGCAGGGCAGAGATCAATCCACGCGCGCGAGAGCGAGGGGGTCACACTCATAGCTCCGCACAGATGGATTCAAGAATCTCGTTTCAGTACCGCCATCTCCTGGCCGCCTCGCAGCCCGGGCCTGCAACAGCACCCCGGTGTTCATTCCCAGGCAGTCGCGCGTCAAGAGCACGGACCGGGCTCGAGCCTGCTGAGACGAGATCGGGCGAGTGCAGGGAATGTTTTGTGTCGCGGGTGATTAGCGGGGAATCGTCTGGGATCCCCTTCGTCTCCACGATTGCAGGCGAATGACGCACGGGTGACGGGAAAGTGGATTAGAGCCGGATTAGAGGAATGTGTGCGTGCGTGCATGCGTTTCCGAGTTAATATGTACGCGGGCAGCGGTGGCGCAGAAGTTAGCGCACCTATGGACCTGCCTACCTCGAGTTGAATTCCTGACCACGGCTAACATCAGTGGTCGTAACCGGTTCTGAGCCTCCTCTAGGTCGACTCGGCCTTAAATGAGTACTTGATGCAGGAGTGTAAACATCAGCGCTGGGGAGTAAGAGGTGAGCAGGCGTGGTGCTGACCACACCACCCATTCACGTGATGTTGGGTCAGCTGCTCGTGACGAGCACTTGCCCCAACAGCCTGCTTAGGTTATACAGATATCTTTGTCTTTTTGTACATTATAATTAAATACGTTGTTATTTGATGCTGCATGAGAGTGAGCGCGTGAACGAGCGGGTGAGTGAGTAAGCGATTGAGTGAGCAGGTGAGTAGGTGAGCGAGAGAGTGAGTGAGCAGGTGAGTGTGAGTGGGTGAGTGAGCAGGTGAGCAGGTAGGCGAGCTGGTGAGCGAGAAGCAGCTCTCACCTTCGGGTAGAGCACGGGGTGGAAGCGTTCGGTGGTGAGCTCTGGACAGAGAAGCTGCAACAACAAAACCACCACCACCACCACCACACACGTTACCAGCATCTCGTGACAACGCGATTTCAAACTTGGACAGCACCTCAATGCCACCGCAGCTCACAGCGGCGCGGTGTGTGTGGGTGAAGGTGCGGTGTGTGTGGATGAGGGTGTGGTGTGTGTGGGTGAAGGTGTGGTGTGTGTGGGTGAGCGGCGCGGTGTGTGTGGGTGAGGGTGTGGTGTGTGTGGGTGAAGGTGTGGTGTGTGTGGGTGAGCGGCGCGGTGTGTGTGGGTGAGGGTGTGGTGTGTGTGGGTGAGCGGCGCGGTGTGTGTGGGTGAAGGCGCGGTTTGTGTGGGTGAGGGTGCGGTGTGTGTGGGTGAGGGTGCGGTGTGTGTGGGTGAAGGTGTGGTGTGTGTGGGTGAGGGTGCGGTGTGTGTGGGTGAGGGTGCGGTGTGTGTGGGTGAGGGTGCGGTGTGTGTGGGTGAGGGTGCTGTGTGTGTGGGTGAGGGTGCGGTGTGTGTGGGTGAGGGTGCGGTGTGTGTGGGTGAGCGGCGCGGTGTGAGTGAGTGTGCAATGTCCACTGTTTCGGGAACACACCTTGGCCATGTGAGCGACGCTGGGCGCTTCACCCAGGCTGGACACGGGCACCGTGCACTCGTACGATTGCCTCCTGGCGCTACACACGCGCACACAAAGATAAAGATCCCCAGTGCAGCCTTAACATAGTCTTGGGGCAAGTGCTGTTGGCGTACGTATACACTCACACGCACGTACCCACACCACGAGGTCAGCGACCTGACCTCCCTCACTCCGCCCATCCCCATCACCTCTGACCCCACTCAGTCGGCTTAGCCAAGCGTCATCCTTCTCCCCCAACCCCCCCATATACATTTTTTCTTCCAAAAACCAAACTATTTGTTATTTTACCAGGCAAGGCCGACCTGAGCTAAAGCGCAATTTTTTTTAGTGAAGCGACCTGGCCACAAATGAATTATAGCTCAACGGAAGTAGCTTATCACGTGGACATTTATAGCAACAGACAAATACTCCACGTGCCCCCCAACACAGCCCCCCCCCCAACCACGGTGGCTAGGAGATGTTAACTCCCTCGCCTGGTATACAGGAGGCCCTGGTTTCGAACCCGACCCTGACGCCTGCTGCATATATGGAGTTACCACGCGAAAACAAACCACTTAGTTTGGCTATCATTTGTGATATACAGGTCGCTTAGTGGACCTTACCTGTTGGTAAAATAAAAAATTGTTTAGTTTATAGTTTTAGGTTAACCGGGTGGCCGCAAAAGCAAATAGCCGAGGACAGGTGAATACCAACGGGTGAAAAACAACGGGGGCAAATGCCAACGCGTGAACGCCAACGCGTGAACGCCAACGCGTGAACGCCAACGCGCGAACGCCAACGCGCGGACGCCAACGCGTAGACGCCAACGTGTGAACGCCAACACGTGAACGCCAACGTGTGAACACCAACGCGTGAACGCCAACGCGCGAACGCCAACGCGTGGACGCCAACGTGTGAACGCCAACACGTGAACGCCAACGTGTGAACGCCAACACGTGAACGCCAACGTGTGAACGCCAACACGTGAACGCCAACGCGCGAACGCCAACGCGTGAACGCCAACGCGCGAACGCCAACGCGTGGACGCCAACGTGTGAACGCCAACGTGTGAACGCCAACGTGTGAACGCCAACGCGTGAACACCAACACGTGAACGCCAACGCGTGAACACCAACGCGTGAACGCCAACGCGTGAACGTGAACGCGTGAACGTGAACGCCAACGCGTGAACGCCAACGCGTGAACGCCAACGCGTGAACGCCAACGCGTGAACGTACTTTGCCATTAACGATTTTCCGAAACGGGCGGAACGCGCGGCGCGAGCGATGCTCGACGCTGGGCGTCAGCGACCTCGGCGGCGGAGCGCTCCGAGCGATTTCTACTTGGTGAAGGGCACCCCGGGCGTGGTGTGGCGGGGGCGGGGGCGGCGTCGTTACCGCAGCAGGAGGCGCATGCAGTCGTGCGCGGGGCCGGCCGCCTCGTGCTTGATGGAGAAGACGACGCGTCCCGCGGCGTTGTCGCTCGCGTAGAAGTTGAAGTGCTCCTGGGGGGGGGCGGGGGGGCGACGCCGGCACTCGTCAACAAGCTGTGTCGACCCGTAACGCCGCGTTGGCTCGCTCGCTCGCTCTCCTCGCTCGCTCGCTCTCCTCGCTCGCTCGCTCTCCTCGCTCGCTCTCCTCGCTCGCTCGCTCTCCTCGCTCTCCTCGCTCTCGCGGGGAGAGCCGTGGGGAGCCGCAGCCACGCGGGGAGTGAGGAGCCGGTGCCATATCCCCCCCCCCACCTCACAGCCGCCGACCCACCACCAGGCTCAGCGTTCCTCGACACGTTGGGGCGTTGTTGGTCAATTAACGAGTGCTTACCTGTGGGCAGGGGAAATGAAGGAAACTCACGTGGTGTGTGTGTGTGCAGGGTGTATGTGTGTGTGTGCAGGGTGTGTGTGTGTGTGGTGTGTGTGTGTGTGTGTGGGGTGTGTGTGGTGTGCAGCGTGTGTGTGTGTGTGGTGTGTGTGCAGGGTGTGTGTGTGTGTGGGTGTGTGTGTGTGTGGGGTGTGTGTGTGGGGTGTGTGTGTGTGTGCAGGGTGTGTGTGTGCAGGGTGTGTGTGTGTGGGGTGTGTGTGCGGGGTGTGTGTGTGCGGGGTGTGTGTGTGTGTGCGGGGTGTGTGTGGGGTGTGTGTGTGTGTGTGGTGGGTGTGTGTGTGTGTGGTGTGCAGCGTGTGTGCAGGGTGTGTGTGTGTGTGCAGGGTGTGTGTGTGTGTGGGGTGTGTGTGTGTGGTGTGCAGCGTGTGTGTGTGTGTGTGCAGGGTGTGTGTGTGTGTGGTGTGTGTGTGTGGTGTGCAGCGTGTGTGTGCAGGGTGTGTGTGTGTGGGGTGTGTGTGTGTGGTGTGTGTGTGTGTGGGGTGTGTGTGTGTGTGTGTGCGCTGTGCCCACCTGTCCCAGGAAGTGACGACGGTACGTGTGTGCCGTCGGGTTCCCCTCCAGCTGGGGCCCCGTGGCGGCGGCGTCGGGCATGGAGGGGCACGTGGGGCAGCAGGGGGTCGCGGGGGTCGCGGGGGTCACGGGGGTCGGCGACGTGGGCTCGGGGGAGGGAGGGTGCGACCCCTCGATCCAGTAGCCGCCGAACTGGGGCAGGATGACCTGGGGGTAGGGGCCTCCCCGGTCCAGAACCTGCATCACGTCGTGGGGGGGGGGGGGGAGGATGAGGTTGGGGGGGGGGCAGTCGCCATCGCTTGTCAATGAGCCGCGAGGAGGTCTGGGGTGAGTATTGAGGGCTAGGACTCCTACAACGGCCGTCGTGTGATGTATAGGATGTTTTTATAGGATTTATAGGATTTCCAGGCGGCGCTATCGCGACCGTGGGTGGGCCGAGGGGCCCGCGTGCTGGGTGCTGGACGGTGGACAGAGGTCGCTGAGACGGGCAGTGGAGCGGCGCCCAGGGGCAGGGCAGCGGTCGTCCGTGGGACTCTCGGGCAAGGCCTTTCGAGACTTTGTCGCGGGTGGGGGGGGGGGGGCAGATTTTGACTGTACGACGGCAGCTGAATCCGGCAGAAGGAAGGAAGCGACGGCGATGAGCGGCGTTGGCTGCGACGATCTCTCAACGCCGACCTTCTAATCGCCCCCATCGCGCGCCATCTGCCGCAGACGGTGCATCGGCGTGACCCCCCCCCCCCCCCCCCCATCATTTGCTCGATCGGCCCGTCGGGTGCTGGCGTAAACGACCCAAAATTGAAAATTTCCCGCGGCAATTTCACGAAAACTCGCAGCGGGCAACCACGGGACACGGCCCGGCCACAGATAGCGGCCCGCAAAGTCAATCGGGGCGATGCCGTCCGGCGAAGGGATCGGTCGGTGGGGGGGCCACGCGTCTCTCCGCCCGCACCGTCCTCGACGGGGGCTCAACTGGGCGCAACCAGCCCGCAGGGCACCCAACCAGCCCGCAGGGCACCCAACCACCCCACAGCGCACCCAACCAGCCCACAGCGCACCCAAGCAGCCCAAGGGCACCCAACCAGCCCAAGGGCACCCAACCAGCCCCCAGCGCACCCAACCAGCCCACAGCGCGTCCAACCAGCCCACAGCGCGTCCAACCAGCCCACAGCGCGTCCAACCAGCCCACAGCACACCCAACCAGCCCACAGCGCGTCCAACCAGCCCACAGCACACCCAACCAGCCCACAGCGCGTCCAACCAGCCCCCAGCGCACCCAACCAGCCCACAGCGCGTCCAACCAGCCCACAACACACCCAACCAGCCCACAGCGCGCCCAACCAGCCCACAACACACCCAACCAGCCCACAGCGCGCCCAACCAGCCCACAACACACCCAACCAGCCCACAGCGCACCCAACCAGCCCACAACACACCCAACCAGCCCACAGCGCACCCAACCAGCCCACAGCGCGCCCAACCAGCCCACAGCGCGTCCAACCTCGCCCGCTCGCGTGAAGCGAAGCAAGGCAGCCGCCTTCTGCCTGGACTGACATGTCAGTTGCGACGCCTCCCACACACCCCCCCCCTCATCCCCTAGCGCGTGGAAGTGAAACGTCGGACGCCACGCAGGCGCCACCGACGGCGACGTGCGCCCGCGCTACGAGATCCGAGTGAGCGACCGCACCGTGGGGCGGATCGGCCAATGAATGACTCCTCCGCTCCGCGTGGGGGGGGGGGGGGCACAACGATGGTTGTGGTGTTGGTGGTGGTCATCGCAGCGCCGTCCACCGTGGCCGCTCGTCGTGCAACCGAGCTTCTCTGCATAAAGGCGAACTCGCGAACGGCACTTGCCCCGGTGGGACGTGTAGGCTATATGGGGGAGGGGGGGGGGGGTCTTTGTCTTTGTGTATGTGCGTGTGTACAGTGCTCAGTGCATTGGTGTTAATCGTGTACTGTGTTGTTGTTAGGCGTGGCTATATGTGCAGCAAATTAATTCCTGAACTCTGCCATATACTAAACCACGTGGAGGAGGGGGCAGAATGAGGGATGCAGGAGGTCTCATCGTGAGTTGGGGGCTGTGAGTTGGGGGCTGTGGGTGAGTTAGGGGGCTGTGGGTGAGTTAGGGGGCTGTGGGTAAATTGGGGGGCTGTGGGTGAGTTAGGGGGCTGTGGGTGAGTTAGGGGGCTGTGGGTAAATTGGGGGGCTGTGGGTGAGTTAGGGGGCTGCGAGTTGGTGGCTGGGGCATGTGGCTCAAAGCCACGAACAGCTGCCACGTGTTTTCAGCATTGAGCGTCTGTGTGCGCAGTGTGTCTTTGTGCACGTGCGTGTGTGCACGTGTGTATGGGTAGCGGTGGCGTAGTGGTTAGCACGCTGCGCTATGAACCCGGCGGCCCGAATTCGATTCCCGCTCACGGCCAACACCAGTGACGATTATCTGAACCGGTCGTGGTTCTGGCCACCCACCCGCGCGTGTGCCGTGCTGGTCGTCATAGGTGCTCGCTAACAGCACTTGTCCTCAACAGTCTGTTAAGGCTATGAAGGGGATCTTTGTCGTTGTGTGTGCAGTGGCTTGGGGGTTAGCACACTGCACTCCGAACCCGCTGATTATTCAAGTTCGATTCCCACTCACGGCTAACATCAATGGCGATTATCTAGATCCGTCTTGATCCCAAGGTCGACTTTGTAAGAGTAAGGACCTGGTGCTGTGTGTTAGCATTGGGGAGACAAAGGCGGCCGAGTGCGGATGCTGGCCACACCACCCCTTCGCTTGCCACGTTGGCCTTCATAAGTGCTCCCTCAAAACACTCGCCCCATCAGCCTGCTCAAGGCTGCACGGGGGAATCTTTGTCTCCGTGCTGAAGAGACATTGATTTCCCCAGCGCTCTCACAAACACTCCAGCAGCACTCGGTGAGTGGCCGGGCTGTTGCTGGGGCAACGTCAATGTTTGTCACATCTCGCACAGTGATGCTTGTACCCCGGGTGAACTGGCCCCCTCCATAGGAATGTGGACATTTACACCACTGCCTCGGCAGAGATGTTACAATGATTTTAGCACGGTCCTGGGATGGCAAAGGAAAGTATATAAGTGCATGTATGGGTAGGTGTGTGGGTGGGTAGGTGTGGAGCTACCAGATTGATAGTTGGGTGGATTGTTGTGTAGGTAGGTTGGGTAGGTGAGTAGGTATTTGTGTGGGTAGGTATGTTGATAGGTGACTGTGTAAGAAGGGAGGTAGTAGGTAGGTGTGTGGGTGGGCAGGTAGGTTTGTGGGTGGGTGGACGGATGCGTAACAATATAGAAGTGCGGGTAGATAGGTGCATGGGTGGACATGTGGATGTGTTAATGGGCGGGTGGCTAGGTGTGTTGATTGGTGCACGGGTGATCTGTGTAGGTAGGCATGTAGGCTTCCGGAGAAGCAAGCCGCCAGGTACTTGTTGAATACGAGCGGGTGGATGGGTGGGTGCTCTGACCACTCGCCTCCTGTATGTTCGGGTACGGAATGTATTCATCCTGCGAAAACACAAACAACGCCACGGGTTGTCGCGAGCGCACACACAGCGCAGGCAGAACCGCGCGAGCGTAACCGCAGCTCCAGACGCGGAGCTCGCGAGCGACGAGCACAGTTGAGAGGGGCCGGTGGCAGCGGATTTGAAGCCCCCCCCCCCCCCCCGCTAGGGCAGGGAGGAAGATGAGACACCAGCGAGGTCGGGGTGAGGAATTCGCGAAGGGAGTGGGCGCGTCTGAGAGCACGGCCACACACGCAGGAGATGGAGCGGTGAAAGCGGCTCGGATTGTTACATCGCAGGACTGTGAGCGATGGCGTCGGCTTGTGGAGGGCTTCATCCAGCGGTGGATTGATCGTGGCTGATGGTGAAGTGTGAGAATGGGGACACCGCATAGACGTTCCAGGAAAGCCCAACGGAATCTCGGGACCCGATTTCAGGAGGATCCTGCCGAGTGCTGGCAGCAGGGAGCGATGGTTGCTGCGACTGTGCGTGTGTTCCAATCGAGTCATTTGCGGTGTAAAGAAAAATCGAATTTCGACCGCGACGCCGGCACGCCAATGGCTCTGCTCTTGCGAATGGCGTCACGGGATCGTTCACCAGTCCACTGTGATGCACGACCGCAGTGTTAATCAGATTGGGTGCCGTATTCGAACCGTGAACCTCTTGAAACGAGAGGGCCACGTGGGTGTCTGCCAGGCACGGGCATTTAGGACGACCAGGAGAATCTAAACGATCTAGACTAAACTATTTTACGCTTTTACCAGGTAAGGCCCACGGACCTACATAACTCTTTTTCAGAAACAACCTGGTCACAAATGATAGCTCAACGAAGTAGCTTATCATGTGGAAATGCATAGCAGCCAAATATTATTTGGGTATTTCGGTAAAGTCACGTAGATAGGTTCTTACGTGACTTTAACGATAGACCCAAAGAATATGAATATTTGTAAGTCACGAAAGCTTTAAGTTAAAAAGCAGTCAAATACTCTGAACGCGTGATGTTGATTCTGTGGAGGGAAAACCCGGAGGATCCGGAGAAAAATCCACGCGACCACGGAGACAGAGAAACACAAACTCCAAATATACAGCAGGCGTCGGGATCGGGATCGCACCCATGAGCTCCTGTATACCAGGCGAGGTCGTTAGCATCTCCTAGCCACCGTGACACTCGAAGAAGTTCCAGACAGAGGAGGCAGCAGTGGAGGAGAGAAAGGTGCTTCCCAAGTTAAAACACAAACTATGGCTATTACTGTTTGATAGTTACATTGCAAAATATATTCTAGTCGTGCCCATAACACAGAATGTAGCTTGCATCTTGCAAAAACAGCAAATAGAACAATGTTGTTTAAATAGCGGGTTTATAACAATGCCATTTATTTACCCAGAAAGGCCTCAGTAAGTCTCAAAACTTTATTGGCTCAAAGCATTAGCAGAGCAAACAAAAGCATAAAGGTCATCTATCCACATACAATTATAACTATTTACAGAAAGTTGTGGCAAGTGTTGTGTAGCGAGCACCTTCGAAGGCCGACACAGCGCAAGAGGGGGTGGGTAGCCAGCAGCTTTCCCGGCCACCTTTGTCTTCCCGGTGCTGATGTTTACACACCACATCCGGTACTCGCTTTAAAGGCTGCCTCGACTGAGGCAGGGGAGATCCCTGGACGGGTTCAAATATTCACCACTGTTATTAGTCACGACGATAGGCGAATTGAACTCGGGTCAATGCCAGATTGGTAGCGCAGTTTCGCGAACCACTACACTACCGCTCCCTACACACGCAGGACCCCTACACTACCGCTCCCCACACACACAGGACCCCTACACTACCGCTCCCTACACACGCAGGATCACTACACTACCGCTCCCTACACACGCAGGATCACTACACTACCGCTCCCTACACACGCAGGATCACTACACTACCGCTTCCTGACACACGCAGGACCACTACACTACCGCTCCCCACACACGCAGGGCCACTACACTACCGCTCCCTACACACACAGGACCACTACACTACCGCTCCCCACACACACAGGACCCCTACACTACCGCTCCCCACACACGCAGGGCCCCTACACTACCGCTCCCCACACACAAGGACCCCTACACTACCGCTCCCCACACACACAGGACCCCTACACTACCGCTCCCCACACACGCAGGGCCCCTACACTACCGCTCCCCACACACGCAGGACCCCTACACTACCGCTCCCCACACACGATTCTCTGCGGTGGTCACGATGAGACGAGCCATCTGGAGACAGCGGGAGAGTGTCAATCAGTGGCGTGGCGAGGCCCGTACGGGCACGAGCATTTTACCTTCTTGGGTTTCTCCACCGTCTCGAAGGGGCTCTTGCTCTGCAATCACAAACACGGTGCGAACACCGCGTCACACTCAGCCACGTTACCGACGCCGCTAATAAGGAGGCGTGCAGGACCGATCCCACCGCTCCTGTTGCTGCTCGTCCAACGGCTGCCCGATGTGGACGCGCAGCAACGACTACAATTTCACACATTCACGTGGTCAAGCACAGATAACCGCGTCAGGAGCAGTGGAGTGTATCGCTGCGATGATGTCTCCTTCTCGTATGTGTGGATCGGGCCGTTGCGTCGTTACACGTTGCACGGTGTCTGTTCCGGATACTCACCAGGCGAACACTATTGGAGCGTATTCTTGGTTCTTTCGGTAAAGTCACGGAGAAGGGAAACAATAAAATAATAAAAGCAATCATCATCAGGTGTGAACATTTCAAATTTTCTTGCTGTGGGTTTCACACCTGATGATGATTGCTTGTGTTGCAGTCGAAACGTCGTGAGAATTTTATTGTTTTATATTTTTATTATTTTATTGTTTCCCTTCTACGTGGTGACTTTACCGAAAGAACCAAGAATATGAATCCCTGCAGTCACGACAGCTTTAAATCACTATTGGAGCGCTTTGAATTTTGAGGTATTCGCAGCTACTGCCATGGTTTGTGCAGATGCGGTTCATGGTGAACCATGAGCTTCGTGGAAGATCAAACTGAGGGGTCTTCTGCGTTGGGTCTTTCACGAGGCCCTGCTGATGAGTGCCAACCTTGGCGAGGCTGACTCATGAAGCTGTTAAGTTATAGCAGCTTTCCCTGCCCAAAAAAATACCGAATTTTATAATTGAGTCGCACATTAATTAACTGGGAAGTTAAATAACCACTTGATCCCCTACTGCGAGACGAATGTCCCATTGCAAGGCTGTTACTCTGCGTTTACCTCGTGCCACACAGGGGCAGCTGCCACCTCGGGTGCCCTGCTACGCACTGCATGTGAAGTGCAACATCAACATTAAGTGATATTTGTTATTTCGTTTACTGTCTTCAAATGTAACGCAATAGCGCATGTTAAACACTGCAATTGATTTGCCTCACTTGTGCAATGCGGTTAGGCATTAGTGAGGCATTGCAATCGTGGTTCATGTCAGGCCTAGAAGGCCTGAGGCCTGAACCTCTACCCTCCCCCTCTTGCTTGGACGCCCAGCCCAGGGAGCTTCCTTGCAACGGACAGGGGAACTAGGCAAGGGATGGCGCCTCGTCAGACCTAAAAAAAACAATGCAGCATTTTATAAAATGTAATCATTCTTAAACAAGATAACATTGTTAATATAACGAAAGTGAGATTGTTATTTGCCTCACATAAAGGGAGATTAATCCGACTTCCTCATTAAATATGCCAATGCCATGAGACTTTTGTCATGACACCACGTGCACAGGCGTTTCATTGTCACAATGACCCACGCGACCTCATCCCACCAATCACAGCACAGCAGCGCACCGAACCATTCAGTTAACGATGTCAACGGTGAAGAACCCGGAGGGAACCCCACGCAGAACCTGGGGAGAGACTACAAACGCCGCACAGAAGGGCGACAGAGCTGGGAATCGAACCCAGGCGCTTTCCTGCTGTGAGGAGGGAGCGTTACCCACTGACCGGGCAACCACCCTACCCCCACTTTCACTCCGCCGATAAAGAGACGGCGGATTGAAAGTGGAGCTCCTGCCCTGTGCACCAGCGGCGCGGGGCTGGAATGATCTCCGGCAGATCGCGTGCCTCCTACAGATACCCGATCCGTGTGCACACACGCACCCCACACAGACAAAGATCCCCCGTGGAGCCTGTGACAGACTGTACGGGCAAGTGCTGTCAGCGAGCGCCTATGAAGGCCGGTACGGTACACGAGGGGGTGGGTCGCCAGTACCACGCCCGGCCGCCTTTGTCTCCCCAGTGGCGATGTTTACACGCCGTGCAAGATGCTCATTTGAGGCCGAGTCGACCTTGGGGAAGCCTAGGACCGGTTCAGATAACCGTCACGGGAGTTGGTGGCCGTGAACGGAAATTGAACTCGAATGGACGGATTCGGAGCGCTAATCCCTACACTACCGCTCCCCACCAGGCGCACACACACACACACGTGTGACCCCCCCCACACACACGTGTGACCCCCCCCACACACACACACGTGCGACCCCCCCCCCAGACACGTGCGACCCCCCCCCCCCCCCTCCACACATGCGCGCCCACAGCCCCGAGACATTCCTGGGCCGGGGAAAGCGTCGCGAGACGCGTGGCGCAAACACCGAGCCCAGCAGCAGCAGTCACGAGCCCAGTAGCAGCAGTCACGAGCCCAGTAGCAGCAGTCACGAGCCCAGCAGCAGCAGTCACGAGCCCAGCAGCAGCAGTCACGAGCCCAGTAGCAGCAGTCACGAGCCCAGCAGCAGCAGTCAGGAGCCCAGTAGCAGTCACGAGCCCAGCAGCAGTCACGAGCCCAGCAGCAGTGACGAGCCCAGCAGCAGCAGTCACGAGCCCAGCAGCAGTCACGAGCCCAGCAGCAGTCACGAGCCCAGAGCAGCAGTCACGAGCCCAGCAGCAGCAGTGGCAGCTGGGCTCGTGACTCACGCGGCACGCTCGCGCGACGGGACGGAGCGCCCACACACCGTGGCAGTGTACGCACACAGTGGGCGTGGCACGTGCCCCTCCCCAATGATCCGATCGAAAATCCCTCATTTAGATCGGATCATTGGGGTTTATTAGTACTAAATCGGCATTTTGCGACCCCCACTGCCACTGGCTAGCATATTATTACGTGCCAGGGACTCTGTGAGATGATAGGACAATAGTCTGAGTCCATAATTGTCAATAAGTAACGGCAAAGCAGTTATAAGTGACTCAGAATTGTGCGCAGTTGCGTATACAGCACACGACTTCCCTGAAGGCATCAACACCTTCAACGAGCGCGATGCCGATCACACAACGCGGTTCGAATTTGACCCTCGATCGATGGCTGCCCCATCGCCGCACACGCGTCGAGTAACAAGCAAGGGACAAGTCCTTACTTACTAACAACTCCTTACTAACAACTCCTTACTTACTAACAACTCCTTACTTACTAACAACTCCTTACTAACAACTCCTTACTCACTAACAACTCCTTGCTTACTAACAACTCCTTGTTTACTAACAACTCCTTACTTACTAACTAGTCCTTACACACTAACAACTCCTTACTGACCACTCCTTACTAACAACTCCTTACTAACAACTCCTTACTTACTAACAACTCCTTGCTAACAACTTCCTACTTACTAACAACTCCTTACTAATAACTACTTACTTACTAACAACTCCTTACTTACTAACAACTCCTTACTAACAACTCCTCACTTACTAACAACTCCTTACTTACTAACAACTCCTTACTTACTAACAACTCCTTACTAACAACTACTTACTAACAACTCCTTGCTTACTAACAACTCCTTACTAACAACTCCTTACTTACTAACAACTCCTTACTAACAACTACTTACTAACAACTCCTTACTTACTAACAACTCCTTACTAACAACTCCTTACTTACTAACAACTCCTTACTTACTAACAACTCCTTACTCACTAACAACTCCTTACTAACAACTCCTTACTCACTAACAACTCCTTACTAACAACTCCTTACTTACCAACAACTCCTTACTTACCAACAACTCCTTACTAACAACTCCTTACTCACTAACAACTCCTTACTAACAACTCCTTACTCACTAACAACTCCTTACTAACAACTCCTTACTTACTAACAACTCCTTACTTACTAACAACTCCTTACTAACAACTCCTCTATCATTTTTTAATTGCTGGAGGGGTTGCCCCCCCCCCCTACCTGAAAATCCTGGCTCGGCCATTGTGTACGCGCGCGTCTGTTGAACTTCTTTGGCACCGTACGTAGCCAACCACACTCATCGGGAGGTGTGCCAAATGATCATAGACATTTTTTTCGCCCGAGTATTTTCCAGGTGGCGGCTGTTATTAGTGGTGCAGGTGGCCCGTGACGAGGAGCCGCTGTGTATAGCGTGCCAGATGTATACTGGATGTGGTGTTCCCGGGCGCGGGAGATGTTTTCCGAGCGTCGTTATTCAGCACCAGCACCTCGTGCGGCAGCTACGGGGTTAATGTTGTTGGGTTGCGTTACTGACGAAGGGTTGTTAGTTGAAACGTTGGACATTCATGGAGTGATACTCTCATCGCAGTCACCCTAAACCACACTGGGTGCCATGAACAGACCAACCACCACAACCACTCTCACTACCACAACCACTCTCACCACCACAACCACTCTCACCACCACAACCACTCTCACAACCACAACCACTCTCACCACTCTCACCACCACAACCACTCTCACCATTCTCACCACCACAAACACTCTCACCACTCTCACCACTCTCACCACCTCAACCACTCTCACCACTCTCACCACCATAACCACTCCAAACACTCTCACCACTCTCACCACTACAACCACTCTCACCACCACAACCACTCTCACCACTCTCACCACTACAACCACTCTCACCACCACAACCACTCTCACCACTACAACCACTCTCACCACCACAACCACTCTCACCACTCTCACCACTACAAACACTCTCACCACCACAACCACTCTCACCACTCTCACCACTACAACCACTCTCACCACCACAACCACTCTCACCACCACAACCACTCTCACCACCACAACCACTCTCACCACTCTCACCACTACAACCACTCTCACCACCACAACCACTCTCACCACTCTCACCACTCTCACCACCACAACCACTCTCACCACCACAACCACTCTCACTACCACAACCACTCTCACCACTCTCGCCACCACAACCACTCTCACAACCACAACCACTCTCACCACCACAACCACTCTCACCACTTTCACCACCACAACCACTCTCACCACCACAACCACTCTCACCACTCTCACCACTCTCACCACCACAACCACTCTCACCACTCTCACCACCACAACCACTCTCACCACCTCAACCACTCTCACCACTCTCACCACCACAACCACTCTCACCACCACAACCACTCTCACCACCACAACCACTCTCACCACTCTCACCACCACAACCACTCTCACCACCACAACCACTCTCACCACACTCACCACTCTCACCACAAAACCACTCCAAACACTCTCACCACTCTCACCACCACAACCACTCTCACCACTCTCACCACCACAACCACTCTCACCACCACAACCACTCTCACCACTCTCACCACCTCAACCACTCTCACCACTCTCACCACCACAACCACTCTCACCACCTCAACCACTCCAAACACTCTCACCACTCTCACCACTCTCACCACCTCAACCACTCCAAACACTCTCACCACTCTCACCACCACAACCACTCTCACCACCACAACCACTCTCACAACACTCACCACTCTCACCACCACAACCACTCTCACCACTCTCACCACCACAACCACTCTCACCACCTCAACCACTCTCACCACTCTCACCACCACAACCACTCTCACCACCACAACCACTCTCACCACCTCAACCACTCTCACCACTCTCACCACCACAACCACTCTCACCACCACAACCACTCTCACCACCACAACCACTCTCACCACTCTCACCACCACAACCACTCTCACCACCACAACCACTCTCACCACTCTAACCAACACAACCACTCTCACCACTCTCACCACCACAACCACTCTCACCACTCTCACCACTCTCACCACCACAACCACTCTCACCACCTCAACCACTCTCACCACCACAACCACTCTCACCACCTTAACCACTCTCACCACTGTCACCACCACAACCACTCTCACCACCACAACCACTCTCACCACTCTTACCTCCACAACCACTCTCACCACACTCACCACCACAACCACTCTCACCACCACAACCACTCTCACCACCACAACCACTCTCACCACTCTCACCACAACCACTCTCACCACTCTCACCACCACAACCACTCTCACCACTCTCACCACTCTCACCACCACAACCACTCCAAACACTCCAACACTGCCAACCGCCACAACAAACCACTCGTACTCCACCGACCTTGATGAAGGGTGGAGCTGTGTGTGGAGCTGTGTGTGGGGCCAGGTTCTCCTTGCTGCACAGGTCGGACGCCATCTCCGTCAGCTCATGTCGACTGCACATGGGGGCGGGGGGTAGAGAACGCACAGCCCGCTCGCCACCACAACCACCACAACCAAGATCACAACCATCCCCACCACCACAATCACAACCACAACAACCACCACAACCACCACAACCAACATCACAACCATCCTCACCACCACAATCACAACAACCACAACAACCACCACAACCACCACAACCAACATCACAACCATCCCCACCACCACGACCACCACAATCACAACAACCACCACAACCACCGCCATAACCAATACCCGAATTTGCCACGAAGTGACGGTGACGTCACCACGGCGTTTGTGCCAGGCTAGGTGCACGCCAAGGCCACGTGAAGTGTCGAACGCCCTTGGCAGGTCACGGCACAGACCCAGGTGCCATGGGTCGACTGACTGAGATGACTGGCCGATGCACCACCTGTGCCCCCTACTGTGACAACTTGCTGCGCTTTAGCCACCCGGCGCTCCGCTCGTTGTTGTGAGCGTCGCTCCTCCGCCCTCCGTTGTTGTTGGAGGGCGACTGCCTCCAACTGCCCAGTGGCGTCCTTCACGAGCCTCCTCCATCACAACCACCACCCAAACCACCACAACTGTCGCCACCACCATAACCAACACTACTAAAGGATACACCAACTCCAACAGCAAAGGAACCTTTACACTAAAGTTCCTTTGAGTATATTGGTTCGTCGCTACAAGAGATACCGTGCCTCCACGTGACAGATGGGAAGACAAACGGACAGAGTTGATGCATAAACGCTGACAAGTGCCTTCTATTGCTCCACATGTAGACATGTTCACATGTAGACACACACACATACCTGTCAACCCGGTATCAGTGCCTACCTTATTACATACCTAATTGGTCACCACCGTGCCCTTATAAATCTCAACGTTCATCCTACAAAGTTCCATCACAAGGTTCAAACACAAACAAATAGATACAAAAACAATTGTTGCCGTGTTAAAACGGCTGCACGCCGCATGGGTCGACAGGTATGTGAACGTGTAGTTATGTAGTCACGTGAACGTGTAGATGTGTAGTCACGTGAACGTGTAGATGTGTAGTCACGTGAACGTGTAGATATGTAGTCACGTGATCGTGTAGATGTGTAGTCACGTGAACGTGTAGATGTGTAGTCACGTGAACGTGTAGATGTGTAGTCACGTGAACGTGTAGTTATGTAGTCACGTGATCGTGTAGATGTGTAGTCACGTGAACGTGTAGATGTGTAGTCACGTGAACGTGTAGATGTGTAGTCACGTGATCGTGTAGATGTGTAGTCACGTGATCGTGTAGATGTGTAGTCACGTGATCGTGTAGATGTGTAGTCACGTGAACGTGTAGATATGTAGTCACGTGAACGTGTAGATATGTAGTCACGTGAACGTGTAGATATGTAGTCACGTGAACGTGTAGATGTGTAGTCACGTGATCGTGTAGATGTGTAGTCACGTGATCGTGTAGATGTGTAGTCACGTGAACGTGTAGATGTGTAGTCACGTGAACGTGTAAACGTGTAGTCACGTGAACGTGTAAATGTGTAGTCACGTGAACGTGTAGATGTGTAGTCACGTGATCGTGTATATGTGTAGTCACGTGATCGTGTAGATGTGTAGTCACGTGAACGTGTAGATGTGTAGTCACGTGAACGTGTAAACGTGTAGTCACGTGAACGTGTAAATGTGTAGTCACGTGAACGTGTAGATGTGTAGTCACGTGATCGTGTATATGTGTAGTCACGTGATCGTGTAGATGTGTAGTCACGTGAACGTGTAGATGTGTAGTCACGTGAACGTGTAGATGTGTAGTCACGTGATCGTGTAGATGTGTAGTCACGTGATCGTGTAGATGTGTAGTCACGTGAACGTGTAGATGTGTAGTCACGTGATCGTGTAGATGTGTAGTCACGTGAACGTGTAGATGTGTAGTCACGTGATCGTGTAGATGTGTAGTCACGTGATCGTGTAGATGTGTAGTCACGTGATCGTGTAGATGTGTAGTCACGTGAACGTGTAGATGTGTAGTCACGTGATCGTGTAGATGTGTAGTCACGTGAACGTATAGATGTGTAGTCACGTGAACATGTAGATGTGTAGTCACGTGATCGTGTAGATGTGTAGTCACGTGAACGTGTAGATGTGTAGTCACGTGAACGTGTAAATGTGTAGTCACGTGAACGTGTAGATGTGTAGTCACGTGAACATGTACAGTCGCTCATGAATGAATCATTGTGCACCCCCGGTCACCCACCCCAGAGTGCACCGCCCACTAACGCACTCGTGAGCGAGTCGAGTTTGCACGGCAGACGTAAAGCAACGTAAGAGCTGGGGGATGTTGCAGTAACCTGATGGTTACCACATGGAACCTGCGATCCAGAGGTGGATCTCCCGGAGCGGCAGTCGAACCGGCGCGGCACGTTTCTTAGATCTGCCCCAGCGATATGAAGGGCGACGCCGCCGGAGTTACTCCATCGGCAGGGTCGCGTGCGGTGGGGTAAAGTGTGGGTACCCCCCACCTCATCGTGGAAGAGTAGGCCAAATACCCTCTTGAGATAGAGAGCGAAAACTCAACACGCTCGTCAACAACACTGTGCCCTTGCAGTGAAGCAATATATAATAGGCGACGTTTCGTGCCAATGGCCTTTCTTCATAGCGCGTACCTGGAAAAAAAAAAAAAAACCCTCTGGAGGAGTTGCGCGGAGCTCCCTTTGGCGGAGACCCTTTAGCCTAGCAGCGGCGTGAGCTAGACGTTTCGGGGCCGCGCCTTTACCGGACAATACGGTCTCGGGCGGAGCGGTGGCGCGCGGGGGGTGCCACGCACCCCCCCCCCCCCCCCACGTGGCACTGCCACCGCCACGCGCCCCCCCCCACCCCACGTGGCACTGCCACCGCCACGCGCACCGAGAGGAGACCGCCGCCGCCACTGCGGAAGGGGACGCTGCCACGTCGAGACACGTGGGGGAGACACGGAGATATAGATGGGGACAGATATACGGGCAAACACGGGGACATATGAGACAGAGACATGGGGACAGATACGTGGAGACAGGCACGGGGAGACAATGGAACAGATACGAGGAGACACGACGAGACGCAATAAAATACGAGGAACCCTAAGACACGGGGAGACAGCGACACCAGACACGCGGCAGATCCACCCAGCGTGAACTCACCATCATCACCACCGCCATCGTCACCATCATCACCATCACCACGACACCATCACACGGGTCCCAGCGTCCCTGGGCACTGCTGATGGAGCTGATGTGGGTGGTGTCACCCAACCCCGCACAGAGCCCCCAGTAGCAAACACCACTCAGACCCCCACCCCCTTCCTCCTCCCCCCGGCCACAGACGCACACGCGCACGCACGCACCTAGCTAGATACGTACACAGCCACGCAAACACACACACAAGACAAAGATCCCCCGTATAGCCTTGAACAGACTGTTGGGGCAAGTACTGTGAGCGAGCACCTCTGAAGGCCGGCACGGCACGCGAGGGAATGGGTGGCCAACACCACGCCCGGCCGTCTTTGTCTTCCCCGTGGCGATGTTTACACATCGCACCAAGTACTCATGTGAGGCTGAGTCGACCTAGGGGAGGCCCACGAAGGGTTCAAATAATCGTCACTGGTGTTGACCGCGTGCGGTAATCGAACCGGGTCGCCAGGTTCGCAGCGCAGCGCACGGCGTGCTAACCTACACACAACAACAACAACCGCCATTCGCCACTAAGTGGCGGTGACGTCACCACGACGCTTGTGCCAGGCCATGTGCACCTTGAGGCCACGTGAAGTGTCGGACGCCCGCGCGCAGGAGGTCACGGGGCAGACCCAGGTGCCACGGGTCGACTCACTAAGATGACAGAGACGACTGGCTGATGCACCACCTGTGCCCCCTACTATGCCAACTTGCTGTGCTTTTGCCACCCGGTGCTCCGCTCGTTGTTGGAGGGCGACTGCCTCCAACTGCCCAATAGCGCCCTTCACGAGCCTCCTCCACAGAGGCCGATCTTGACATCGCTGGTACCAGTCATCGGCAAGTCCACTCAGCTCCACGTCCTCCTGTACCTCCTGTGCCCGCTTAGCCCCCTCGATCCGGGTGAACAAAAGCTGTTTCGTCATGCGGTGGCTGGGCATGCGGGCTACATGACCCAGCCAACGCAGCCTTGCCTGCCGGAGGAGCTCACCGATGGGACCTTGCCCAGATCGTTCAAGGATTTGTGAGCTCCTCACACAATCCAGTCTGGTTAAACCAGGATGGATCGTAGGCAGGCCAGCCTAAATGTTTCCAACCGGCGAAGATGTTCCATTAGGGGGGTCCACGTTTCGCAAGCGTATAGAAGGGAGGGAATGACCGTGGCCGAGAAGACCTGAAGCTTAGTACGGAGCGACAGACCAGGTAGCTTCCACACAGCGTTACGCAACCGATGAAAAGATATTGCCGCTCGACTGATTCGGAGTGAGACCTCTGCTGTTAAACTGGAGCCGGTCATAAGCACACTGCCCAGGTATGGGAAACTCTCCACTCTCTCCACAACTGCCCCATCACCGATTGGGAGTTGTGGGGGTGGAGTGTCCGATAGTACAAAATACCCACACACACACACCTACACACACACACACACACCTACACGCAAACCTACTCACACACACCTACACACACCTACTCACACACACACCTACTCACACACACACACTCACACACACACCTACACACACACACCTACACACACACACCTACACACACACACCTACACTCACACCCTCTTCTCCCCGTGGAGGAGTCTCCCCGGCAACCCCCACTCCATGGCAACGCGCGGCTCTTGAAGCCGCGATGAGGACTGCACGAGGAGGGAGAAAGCCGTGGGGAGGTAGAGTCGAGATGGGGGTTCAAGGGGATAGAGCTTGGGGCAGAGGGGGGGGGGAGTTATGGGTGTCACAAGAGAGAGACTTGAGAAACGAGAACGGAGAACGACAGAGAGAGGAGAGAGT